TCATAAGCACGTTTGCATTGCTGCTCAAGCGTCTGAACACCTTGCGGTAGCAAGCCTGTGAGGTTAAACTCTCGACGCTCATCAGGAGGAAAAGCAGAGCCCTTGTTGAGATATGGCGTGTTCAAGAGCGATGTACCGCTGAGCGCGCAGTTAATAGGCCCGGTGGTGCTCAGTGGTAGATCACCAAACTTGGACCTCTTGGAGTGATCAGCCTTTGTGGCATAGTTGTTGGTGAGATTCAGGTATCGCATAGTGGACGGATATAAACGGAAGCGATGGACAGGGGATGATCTGGATATTTTGAACATGATAATCTACTTGGCAGTCTTGGCCTTTTGATATGTGGTATTAATAGTAGAGTAGCATAGCATAGCATAGATAGATAGATAGATAGATAGGCAGATACGGCAGTTGAGATAGAACATCAAGTTCTGGACCTGAAATCACAAAGATGACGTCGTTGAGCTCTCACTGGCCCAAATCCACTCTGACGAAAGAATACGAAACCTTGATTGCATCTGCACGTGCTAAGGTAAAGGTCGAAAAACAATAGGGTCTTTGATATCATGAACTTGGATAATATTCCAGATACTGTAATCACATGATAGTGACACATGTGCTATGTATTCCAATAAGAGAAAGAAAAAAAAGAATGTCGGTGCTCCTGGAGCCTCGCCCGTGTAGAAATTGAGACAATGTTATCCACCAAAAGGTGACCAACAAAGACGAGACGGACGCGGACTATGATGGCCCTTGTTGTTCTAGCAACTACGACAAGAAAAAGAAGCACACAATGAATTGCGCGTCCCTTTTTTTAGTCGTTAAATCATCCTTCAGACTACTTCGTGCGGATAGTACAAAACGCACCGTCCGTAGAAGACCCTCCGTGAGGAAGACTCGTGGGAAGATTGAGTGACTGAAGGACAAACGCTGCGGATAGAAAATAGAAATGTGTAGGTACCTACCTTGCAACAAGACGCATAATGAGATCTTGAGATCGCGTCTTGTTGTGTTGTGTTGCTCTGAGGGAGAGAGACTTGGAGTGATAGTGAGAGAAGGGGAAGAATATGGTCAAGGAAAATTTGACGCGGTTTTGGTGGTGGAGTTGAAATGTACGTACCCACTCACTCACTCACTATTTGGTTGGCGGGCCACAGAAGTTAGAAACCTACCTCAGCCACCAAAAGATGCCGCATTCCAACTTGAATCCTCATTGGCTCATCAACTTACACCAGAACAATCACTGCTCGATATCATGTCTCACAGCATAAACCTTGGTGGCTTGCCAAGACCTGTATTATCTGCATCTATATACACAGGAATCCCTAATGCACACCAGTACATTGCTTTGTCCCACGTACTCACTTGGCTATCTCCGCTCCTAAGCGTTCTCGTGGTGAGATGGCCTCGTCTCAATCTCTCCATCCTCCACCAACGCCTTCTCAGCCTTCAAAGCGTCAACCTCAAGCTCAATTCCAAGACCAACATCTCGGCGCGCCTCATCCAGCATCTTTGCATCCTCTTCGCCAGTGTGGCTTCCGAACACTCGATCCATATCTTCGAGAGTAGCACCCTTCGTTTCTGGAAGGCAAAAGTACAGCCAGACCATACTGCATGCCAGGAAAACGGCAAAGAAGATGTAAGTGCCCCATTCGAGAGTCTCAAACATAGGAGGCACGTAAAAAGCAACGGCAAAGTTGTTGAGCTGGAGTCACCGTCAGTTACACTTGGATCATAAGCGAGATGGGACTACTTACCCAGTTACTAGAAGCACCAATCGAAGAACCCTTGGATCGGATGGAGAGAGGGAAAATCTCGGCAACAAGGGTCCAAGACACAGGACCCCATGTAGCGCCAAAAGCCCCGACGTAGAGCCAGATGAAGGCCACGGCAACCCAACCAGCAGCACTATGCGTCTCCCAGTCGTGTTGGAACTTGGCGACAATAATACCAGCGAGAACCATAGAGATAAGCATGACGACCGATCCGACATAAAGCATTGGCTTTCGTCCAACTTTGTCAATGATAGCCATGGCAGGTAAAGTGAAGACGAAGAACACAACACCCGTAACTCCCGTCGCCAGTAGAGCCTGCGTTCCTCCCGTAAGACCTAGACTTTCAAAGACTTGGCTGGCATAGTAAATGATAGCGTCGATTCCGGACCATTGTTGCCAAAACATGACGAGCCAAGCTGTAGCAACACGCTTGAAGTTATCCTTGGTACGGAAGATCTGATAATACTGAGCAAATTGGGCCATCCAGACACTGCCCTGCTCTTTAGCAGCCAGGTTGGGGAAGTTCTTGGCGAAAGCACGTTGTTCAAAGAGAGCCTCGGCCTTGATCTCCTTGTATTCCACCTGAATGAGTTCGTGCTCAATGGGTAGGTTGCGAAGGTAGGATAGTGTTTTGAGGGCCTCCTCATCACGGCCCTGCTTGACGAGCCAACGCGGGGAAAATGGCAACCACCAGATTCCAAGCGCGAGAAGAACGGCGGGAATTCCTTGGATGATGGATGGGAGCATCCATGCGAGGTTGCTTTGGCCTTCTCCTGTGCCGCCGATGTAGTTGCTGCCGTATCCGATCCAGAATGAGAGCATGATGCCGAGGATGGTGCAGAATTGGTAGAAGGAGACGAGGAAGCCACGGAGTTCGGGAGAGGATAGCTCGGCGTTGTAGAGAGGACTAAAGAGACATCAGTCAGATACAATTGTTAATATTAGGTCATAGTTAGAACTGACCCAACACCACTGAAAGTGCCAACTCCGATGCCAGTGAAGAAGCGACCAGCGTAGAGCATAGACGCATTATCTTTTGTTCCTCCGATATACAAATAGCTACCAAGAATTACCCAGCAGCAGGCCATGAACATGGTGTACTTCCGTGAGTAGACTTCACCAAAGACACCAGCGGACAAGGAGCCCAAAATGCCACCGAGTTGAAGGATCGAGGTGAGCCAGCCAGTGGCTGAGGACGAATTGACGATAGAGGGGAAGTTGTCCTTGAAGCGATGCATCACTAGGGACTGGCCCAGGACACCTTGTTGGTAGCCATACTCAAAGCCACCGAAGCTGAGATTATTAGTAACAGATTGTATATGAGGGTGAAGGAGACTAACGAGGCGAAGAGGGCGATGACGATGAGCTTGGGGTTCTTGGCGAGAGTCCTCCATCGGTTTTGGTAGGCGAGCTTCGTCCGCTCGTCAACTGTCGACTCCATGATGAAAGGATATTCAATAAAATATATTCACCACCGTTTAACGAGAATTGAAGCAGTTCTCCCAAGCCACGAGGCAAGTATGAGCGTGACAGAACCAAGATCAACATCGGGAGAGCAATGGCCTTATATAACGAACCACAATATTTGCATCATCGACAATTTCATTGCCATTTCGAGCCATCAATTGCATGGATCTCAATGTTAAAGGCTCCCCGCAACTAACACCTCATGCCAATCCGGGGACCCCAGATGCAACATAGAAAAAGATACAAATGACGATGTATCTTTATGGAGTAGCACTGCTAGGGTCGGTGAGACTCCGGCGATGGGGGACGGGGGATGGGGGTGCTTGGGATGTCCATATTGGGAAAGACTTCTGTATATGGCAATATCAAGCACTTTGGAATAATAGCCTCATCTTGCCTGATGAGCGAGGATATCATGAGCACGATCTTTATGATGATTGATTCATTCATTACTAGAGTTACAAGCTACTTTTAGGTCGAGTATCGATACAATCAGCAAGTCAGGCAATCATGCAACTCGAGAGATATTACCATATAAGAATCCACAAAATAAGAAATAATCGTATTGCAATCCATACAAGATCCGTTTTCTTCCTTGAGATGTTACATTGCAAAAGGCAATACCACATCAACCTGTCGGAGTACCCCGACTTACGCGGATGTTTTAGTGGGCAAGAGTTGGCCGAGTATTAAAGAAATCACGCGCTGTTACCAAGTTTTCTGACCCAGCAATGAATAGCAAACATACACTCTATTTAAACGCTCGGGATCATGAAACACATTTCTTCCCCACATGTTTCCCAGTGTCAGTTCTGGTCCCGGTGTCGGCCCTTACTCTGGCGATCCCGCTCGTCTTCTCCAACACCTCATATATCCTCCCTCAGTGTGTGTTCCTCCTGTGACAGTTTATCCAAGTTAGATAAGTCGACTTAACACCGGCTGTCCTTGGCACCGGCAGATGAACCTTGTGTCTTATGAGGCTCAACTGGGAATATTGATCAGCAAGTACATGGATGCTGGTGCTAGGCAGAAGGATTTCCTGGATCAACACTGGATAGAAACGGGGGCCAAGCAATTGAAAGGGCTTGTGATTTACATAACTCTATGGAACGTTTCGAATAAACCTTGCCCTTTTACAAGATAAAGATGCAAGAAAATGGATTCATCGGAAAATTAAATAGAAAAATATTCATCACATCTAGTTGCTCAAGGAAATCCGATATGAGAAGCCTACAGCCACGTCTGTTCGCTAGCTCACCTATGCTACCCTACACATTTGATGGCGACCTCAGTGAATAAGAAAACCTAGAGCTTCTATCACAAGGATTGAAAAGTTTTTAGGAAACTTAGCGCAGACTTGAGAGACATTCAGATTAGTTTGTTTTATGAAATATAATAAAGCTCCGGTGTGATACGCGCTCCTCTCCCACTTTCGTCTTACACCCCCAGATTTCGCTAAAAGTGTCTGAAGAGCCTGTCTAGGGGAGGAAAGAAAACTCAGAACCTTGATTCTAGGTGACAAAATGATCTAGGCAATGTAGCCAAAGCTTAGGATGACCTTTGCTGAGTTTATTTTGATACCCTATATTTAGAGTCTGGTGTTTTCTTGCCCCAAGGCCTGTAGCGTTTAAATGTGCCTCTTTGAGTTGGACTATAATCCTCCGGGAATAAACATCCGTCGGGCATCACAGTCAAGGATAATATAGGGTGCTAAAATAAACTCATTAAAAGGTATCCCAAAGATATCCTAAACTTATACTAAATTACCCCAGCCTTTTCATCATTTAGGATGGATACCCTAAGTTTTGTCGCCTCTTCTAACCTGAGCATACTATCACAGGCATGTTGTAATGTGAAAAACGCGAGCTGCTTCATACTCTGTGCCACGGCAATTCGCAAATATTCTCGTCGATCTCTGTCGTCCTGCCCAATGCTGACGATTGGTCCGCCGCCGTACTTGATGAGGAGAGTGTTAAGAATAAGACGGCACATCCTGCCGTTGCCGTCTCCAAACGGATGGATGTTAACGAACTTGTGGCAGTACTTACTTGCAAGCGCTACCGGGTCGATTTGTCCTTTGTCTGTAGCCTTTTCTATGTCAGACTCTAGTTCTTCTATCATGTCGCGTATCGCGATGCGGACTTTGCTGTGGTCCATGAAGACGTGGGAACCACACTGGACATTCCATAATCGATACTGTCCACTGTATTCGTTCCAGGGTATACGCTTGCTGATTTCGATTTTGTATGTCAGGTCACCATGCGCTTGCGTGATAATATACTCAGATAAGTTCTTGTCGTTGATGCAGACTTGCTCGATCATGAACCTGGCAGCCTTGGCATGTTGAACGATTTCTCGGTAACTTTGAAGGATATTGGCATGTTTGCAAGGTAGGTCCTTATTGTAGAGATAGAGATCGAGTTGTTCGTAATCTGGGTCTTGTTCGCTAATCTCTTCGGGTGGTTCTTTGCCTCCTCGAAAGACTTCTTTGCAGAGCTTCAGTGTGATGTCGAGACCTCCGCCCACATTCTCGATCATATTGGACCCATAAACCATGCGAGCGAGTTCATCTATAATATGTTCGTCAATAGCAGCCATATATTCAGACTGTGCTAGCCCATCATTGACATAAGTCATGTGCCTGCGCAGTTCCTGTTGAAGCTCTTTAGGGCTCTTTTGCAGGATGTCATAGTCGTAAGCGTCGTCGTCGTCCACGTAAATAGGAAGGCTCGATTTGCGAAGTACCATCATGCGCCGAATAGATCGTCCAAGATGATTATCCACATCCACGTCCACAACGTCAACATTTGGGTCATTGGGGGCCTCGAACCTTTGTTGCTTAGGGGCGGGTATCTTTGCGGTATGATTGCCTTCAAAAGGGCCCTGGGACAGGCCTTTTCGTTTATGACAGGGCATCTTGGTATCGTGGAAAGGAGAGTTTGGCGTGTATAAAGAAGAAGAAAAAGGTTGGATCAAAGTGGGGAAAAGGGGTCCCCTTTATACCTGAAGTGAGTTTGAAGTCATAAAAGTTTACCTAAACCTTTAATACTTTACTGGATATCAGCCAAGTCTACCCTGAGATCATATAACTTTGTCGAAAATTGGTTTTGTGTTTAAGCCTTGAAAGAAGGATACCAGGGCTGCCCGAAACCCAGGAGAGGATCAAAGAAACAATCTCACCGTAAATCAAAGCGGCAAAAAAGACATATCTTAAGGTATAACAAATCTATACTTGTGTTGGCATTCACTACATCATTTAGAGTATAATTAGAAGGTAGACTAGTACAGTAATTACAGTGGCCATAGAAGTGACATTATCATAGCCTTCGGACAAGTCTTGCAATTTCAAAAGCTTAGCTTTTATGGCCATATCAAGCTATTTCCCAGGCCTCAGGGCATTATGAGGAGAAGTTACATATTTCGTTTACGACCACCGAGGCCCCAAGATCTCGCGATATGTACAGTTGTATATTCAGATGGCCTATGAACAGCAACTTTCGAATCAAAGAGTGTCCCTAAATTCCTCCAGTATCTGCCTTTAAAATCTTGCAGTCATTCTTAAACTTGTATATACTCATCGTTCCCAACATTCATCCACTGGCTGGATCAGGATCTCATAACAGACATCCATTTGCTCTTTTTGTGATGTTAAAGCGCTTACTGGGCGCTGTTACCGTTGTTACCGATCAGGTTGGGGGAGCTGCGGAGGTTGCCAGAGATCTTGCCAGAAGTAGCAGTACTGGTGAGCCAGTTGGTGACACCAGAGACGCCAGAGACACCGTTGACAGAGATACCGTAGAGGACAAGACCAGCAATGTGGGGGGTAGCCATGGAGGTACCGCTGATGCTGTTGGTGGCGCTGTTGCTAGTGTACCAGGCAGAGAGAACGCCAGAACCGGGAGCAAAGATGTCAAGGACAGTGCCGTAGTTGGAGTAAGAGGCAATGGTCCAGCTGCTGTCGATAGCACCGACAGTGATAGCGCTGGTAGCAGAGGCAGGAGATGTGTTGGCGGCGTTGGCACCATCGTTTCCAGCAGCAATGGCAGAGATGATACCAGATGAGGAAGCAGAGTTGACAGCATTGTTGAAAGAGGCAGAGTAACCACCACCAAGAGACATGTTCACGACAGAGCGAGCAGTTCGGCCCTTGGAGATGATATCGTTGGCAGCCCAGTTGAAACCAGCGAGAATGATAGAGGTGCTAGAAGAGCTGCCCTGGAAGACCTTAACAGCCTGGATGGTGGCCTTCTTGGAGACACCGTAGGTCTTGCCGGCAATGGTGCCAGAGACGTGAGTACCGTGGCCAACAGAATCGGCGTTGTCGCCACTGAAGGCAGTGTAGACGGCCTGAGCACGGCCCTCAAATTCATTGTGGGTGGTTCGAACACCAGTGTCGACGACGTAGGCATAGGTGTTGGTACCAGCGTTAGTATCGTAGATGTAGCTGGTAGATCCACTGGAACGGTGAGAGACCGTACCGAGTCCCCAGGTGGCGCCGCTCTGGGTAGTCAAGGCACGCTTTGCGAGAGTCTCTGCCTTTTCTTCCTCCTCCTCAACCCAGTTGATGACCCACTCGCGGTCCTCTTCGACGATAGCAACCTGGACTGGATATCAGCATTGGATAGCTCATGGATATTCAATGTCACTCACATCAGGGTTCTTCTTAATCTCCTCGACGGTGCTCTTGTCGAAAGAGCCAGCATAGCCCTGGAAGCCATACTTGCCCTTGTAGGTGCGCTCAACACCCTTCTCGGCGCGCTTGTTCAGCCCACGCTTGTGGACATCCTCAACCCAGCTGAGATGGCTGTCGACATCGGCAGCAGCGATATCAGACTTGAGGGTGATGATGTACTTGCCAGGAATGATCTTGTTGGAGTCAACCTTGGCAGTAGTAGGGGCGGCGTTGACGAGCCCGAAGAGGGTAGTCGCGGCGAAAGCGAGGTTCTTGAAGTTCACCATTGTGAAGATGCAAAGGAGCAGAGGCAGAACAAGAGACGATTGGGGATGCTTGTGTGTGGATGAGACTGAGAGTGATGAGGATGAGGAGGTAAGTTGTTTTGAGGAGGAGGACAACACGCCTTATATAGATGCGATCTATGTTGCTGGGCGACTGCTTCGATAACAACATGGATGGGCAGATACGGGGTTCGTATGTTGAGTTCATGAAGTCACCTCTGCCAGCCATCCGCAGCCATGATACATGGTAACGTTAGCTATTACTGTGGTGGCAGAAGTATATCGAACGGTCTGTGGAGAGAGACTTTGCTCTCTGGTGTCCCCTCTGAAGTCAAAAGCCTAGGAGACGGAGATTCCCAACCCCTACTGACAGAATGCAGGGTTTGTAAGGTGCAAATCTGCAAGTGTCTTGCATCTATTCCCAGACATGATATCCCATCAAGACACAATCGAAGGGATCATTTTCATCAGCTTCCTCTTGCGGCGACAGCCGACAGATTTACGTAGCGTCTCGCCATCGCCTTCATCAACGCCAGACAAAAATAGGAAGGCGAGATGTGATGCATCGAGGCGGCAGAAGTTCTGAGAGGCGATTCAGGATAACGAGAGTGCAAAAGTTCTCGAGAATGCAAGAAGCAGGTCGGTGGGCCTAGTATGAAGGCCAAGAAGGATGCATGGGACTTTCATCGTAACGGATACCTTGATGATAGAGCACCAGGATATCGTAATGGGTCTCAGTGGACGTCCAGAGCGCCAACCTGTCTCATAAATTATGAACAACAATACAGAGTACGTTGACGGAATTCGATTGCATGTGATGAGACAGGGCGTGAAGGATAAGTAGGTTACCATCAATAACCTTGGCTATAGTTGGGTGTATTCAGGATCTGTTTAGTAGAACTCCCTGCCGTCAATCATGATCGACATGGTACCAAGAAAACAACCCTCCAGAAGGTGACTCTTAAAGATCATCCATATAGTCTCGGTCTAGCCTCATATCTCGATCTTGGCAGTGACTGCCGGTATCCAGAACTACTGGAGTCGACAATGGGGAGCGGCCCGAGGTGGGGAGGCAAATGCCTTCTAGTCTCTAAAGGGAGGCCGGAAACAGGAACATAGCCAGTCGGAATCATGGATCGGCCCGTAGAAGATGCATAAATCCTAATTCGAGGTGTTTATCGTCAGAGGCTTGGTGAATTGATTCTTGATACATAGAAGTTGAGCGGGAAGTTAGTGAACTGCCTGTTAAAGCAACTATGCTTCTCCGCAACTCCAGCATAGCCAAAGCAGGCTAGACATTGCCCCTTGGTGACCTAGCCCTACCGATGGCAACAGCCGTGCGGAAAGGGTCTCACACCAAGAGCTAGTTATGCTGCAACTTGAATAGAAGTTCCAGTCATTAATGAGCATCAAATCAACTTCCTCTTTGGGACACTATGCCCGAGTAGGTGCGTATTGTTGTTGCCGCTGGCCTCGCAAGACAAGACATTGGTTCGAGTGCTCCTTTTCGCTGGAGGCTGATACAGTGAGGCTACGTTGTAGGAAAAGCACCCTTGCTTAGCCTCATGATTCTATGTCTCCCACGGGAGGATGAGAAGGAGGGCAGCGTGATTTGAAAGCGAGGGGTTGGAGTGCACTCCTTGCGCAAGTCTTCGATGATCTATATCGATTGTCTCAAAGATTGTAGTGAAGACATCGAAGCCTGGGATTCGGTATCCCTGTTGATATGATATGTCGTAGTCCGCATCCCATCAAGTTTGCGTCGGCGAATAAAGAGTATCCTGAGCAGTTGTAAAGTTGAGGTTTCCCACTATGAGGACTTGGTGGGGTTGATACCTTAGAGGTAATAGAGGGGCCGGAGATGCCACGGGCAAGAGCCAAGCTTGAGTGGGGAGGGAGATCAACCAATGAGAAGTAGCGGAAGGAGCAAACGGGCTGCTGGTTCTTTCCTGTCTCACCTGTCTGCAGAGATAAAGATTTGTGGCTTGGACCTAGCAGGCGCATTGGCGCACCCCAGAAGTCTAACTTACAACAACAATAACAACATCATCACCATTATCATCAGGGCTTCACAATCACTAACTTCCATTGTTCAAGGGTGAGGCCAAGGCACTTTAACCCCTGGAGAGACACGGAGATTTCGCTCCCCGTTAGCGCCTTCCTTCCCGTCACAGTTTAATTCTAACCATAATTTTATTCTATTTCGTTCTACCTATCGAAGCCTGATTTAGGGTGCTAATCTCGAGTCCCTTTTAGGTATCTGCCCAACCTTGGTCGAGGCCAACCTCAGTACCTTGACGAAGGGACCCCGCTCTATCTTTGCATCTCATGACCCTTGCTGATGCAGCCGACTAATCAATCAATTGACCCTTATCAGCACCGCATGATGCTATCAGGACAAAAGTACCTGTCATGTTCTTGGATAGTACCTATTCTAATATGTTGCATTAGACTATCGGTCCGCCAAGACCTACGTATCATTCTCGTTCAATACCGAACAAAACTCCGAATCCAAGCAACCCAACCCATTCGTGGAAACTACCCGACAACACTCGCACGCCATCCTTTACAGCACTCGCTTATGGCCAAGGAACTTTTTCACTGGTCTAACGATGTTTTGAGTCAGGAGACGCTGACAACCCTGGTCGCTCTCGATAGCTTAGGGAGACCAGCAATTGGCTGCCATCCATTACCCATGCCCTGCTTTGAGCCTTCTCAATAACTTAGTACCCAAGGCATACTCGATCCTACTGTTTAGCGTATCTGTTTATTCCTCCGTGACCATGCCGCACGATCGCCACGGCCCGCCGGAATCCTCTTAAACGAAAGGGTTACCATTATTGCGAGGCTTAGGATCCAAAGCAAGGGGTGAAATCGAGCTCACAACCAGCAAACGAAACTGGTTCTCGCAGCCATCCTGGAACTTGAAAGTAGGTCACGCCGCTTTGACATTTAAGCATCTATTAAACTTTACGCTTAGTATTGTCCTTTTGCCCTGAGCTAGTCTAAACTCAAGTCATTGCTCAACTTGATGCCACAAGGTAGCATCGGCCTTAACCCCAAGAGTCCATATGCTATATGGCACCTCTCTCACTTTGGATGAGATCATCGATACGACATGGTATGCCCGCTTCCTGTACCCCGAGGACCCTTGTCACCGTTGAATCGACGAGTGTCGCCACTACATGAGATCTTGCCGCTAGGAAGACTTACCACAAAAGTACTTACGACCTTGATTACTTGAGCTCCTTCCTAGCTGGTCACTATCATCTTCGAACCGAGAGCTATGTCGCGATAAGGATCCCATATTGCTCAACATCGTCAGCAGGGAAAGTCGCCTGTGAGGCACCTGGAAATCCATCCCACGCAGCTTCCAAGCGACAGACTCCAACAAAGGTTCCCACACCCAGGAAGAGATCAGGCTTCCGACCATAGATACGTGCCCCGGTTAGCCAGCTATATGTGCCTTAAGCCTTTGAGGCAACCCGAGCGGTAGCAGTGATATCCAATCACCCAAGGCACGAGGCTTCCAAGACTTCTAGACTACTCTCGCCTTTCTATGGATGGTGTTCTGCACACACCATATCGAGTTAAAGATCTTCGAAAACGTTCGTGCATCAGCTTCCATCAATACATGCTTCCAGCTCTTCGCTCTTCTTCGATTTATCACTTACGACCATTCACAACAAGAAGTTGCTTCTGCTACCTTCCTGTTCACGCCATAGTCGCCGAGATGCTGCATCAACAGGATACATCACGTCTATCATATGATGTCTTGTTTACGCTAGAATACAGTGACACTGACCTTGGGTCGATTTCTCTGAACACAAGCAAGCTCCAGAGAACCTCCCACAATTTCTACCGTGACCAAGCTCCCCTCACTCGGCTACAGACCTTGTTTACAACTTAAGAAGTGAAACAATCAGGGGCAGGCATTTTAAGCCCGTTTAAAGTATATGAACCTTTGAAATAGTAATCATTGGAGCCGCTACTGGCTCTCTTTGTCGTCCAGGTCCTCGTTAGGGTCACTCAATCTTAGATGTGCCATCAAGGGGCTTGAAAGAAGCCGCCGGCATGTTTTGATTGCCTCCGAAAGTTCAATCATGACCTACTATCTGTTTCTGGCAAGTGAATTTGATTCGGACTCTGTTTGGAAAGTGGAAGGCTGACCCCCGTGATCACTAAGGGGAGTAATCTTCTTAAATTATCTGACAGGAACCCAGGTTCAAGATTTCAACGCCAACTCCTGTAATAATTCTTGAAGAGCGCAGGTAATACTGATTTAGCATTGGAGGCCTTGTATCAGACTACGGTCTCCAGCTTCAGCATGGGATTTAGATATAGGAATGCAGTCCATCTCATTATCTTTCGAGACAGAGTACTTAGGTCATGCTCATAGTGCCCAATAATCGACGCAACTCTGATGATGGTCTTGCACGGATTTTGCATGAGGTAGTGAGTGATACGTTGTTATCTTGCCAACGCGGCGTGTAGTAGCCAGGGCAGTGTACAGTCGCATTGCTCCGCAAAATGCCAGCTGCACCTTGGGATATGCTGCTTCGTATGATCAGGGGCTCTTCACACACGAAGTATTCTTATCGATCATGTATTGTGTGTTACTGAGAAAACAACACTCGAGAATCGCCCGCACTCTCACCAGCACCCCCTATTGTCTCCCATGTTCTTCAGTCTGAAAATATCCCTTACAGACATCGGTACTCGTCCTGAATACTTCAGTTAGGGAATTTGGAGACAAGAGAACACAACTGTAATTGACTGTGTGGGTTCTATCGGCCTTCAGCGCCAGTGTCTCCTGAGATACATACAATGCACCAGTGCCTCCGGAAACACGATTCATGGCTCACCTCATCGCAGTGCTGGCTGATTATGTCTCTCTATATGTGAGCACCATCATTATTAACTGCCGGGCATACAACTACTGGATAGTAGTGCCGTTCTCTTGTGGTGTAAGAGTAGCAGCCCCTATTGGTTCCCATACAAGAGGAGCAGGCACCTCACATTGCAAAGGATATGCACTGTCAGCCCAGCATGTTGGTAGTCACACTGACACTGAAACATAGAGGCTTTGTCAGAGACAACCTTAATTCAACTACCTCAAGCTGACACAGACAAACAGATATTTAGCGACTCCATTTCCACCATGTCTCCTCAAGCGATCACATCGGACAGCCACTTGGCTCCTTATTCCCATCAGTCTGTCTCCCATCGACTTTACTGCCATAAACCTTTGTCGGGGCCCCTTCTGGCATAGGAATACCCGGAACATCCTTGAAAACCGCAAAACTTGATGGGGTCTCCTCCAATACCGGGAAGTGAAACCCGCACTGCGGACACTGTTCATGAAGAACAGCTTGCTCCTCAGCAAGATTGTACTTCTTATCCTGAGTATGATTACACACAGGACACACACGAAGCAGTCTTGTCCCAACGAGCTCGAAGTTAGTGATGATGTCCTCCATGATAGCCCCGTTAGCTGCCCACTCCTTGCAGTATTTATGGTAGGTATTCTTGTGCCAGTCGTACAGAGCACCACGACTTGTCCAGAAACTGCATTCGTTATACCAGCTTCTATCGTCAGGGTGTTCCCACCATGTTAGGTGCAGAAATCCCGGGAGTGTCATAAGGTGGCGACGTGTGTCGGCGAAGAGAACCTTAAACTTCTCGTAAGCGTCTGGGCTGGAGAAGCGGACTCTTTGCATGCTCAGATAGATAGGCATAGTGGTAGTATGATGCCTTGGGTATTGATAGGACGGTATAGGTTCGAGATACTTCAAAGCTTTGTGGTATAATTTCAATAAGGTCGAGCATTAAGTATGCAGTAGTTGGAAGTAGTTGACGAGAATTTGGATACATTGATACTGCCATCCTCTCACTTTATACCTTACACCAGCAGCTGGCTTCTTTTGTTATCTTACGTGTCGCACAGGACGTCTCAGGCAATTATTCCCATATCAAGAAAATAATCATGAAAGCATCTGCGACCATTGGCTTATCAAATATCCGGGGAAGCGGGGGTGATTAAGTTTCCTGATAAAGTTACGATAGCCGTTGTGCTTGTGTGGCAACCACAAGTTAGACGTTTTGTGTGGATGGTAGCCGTTGGCTGGCTCGTAGCTTGCAGCTTGTAAGTTAAGATCTTCTAGCTTAAGCCAATCGAAACTTGCTGTTCGTACAGCTGGAACACTTGAAGATCCAGTCAGAAAACGACATCTCCCAAAGGTTGAGTGTCGCAATTGACATCAATTCGCAACTTCACATCTCCGTAACATTAAACGCGCTCTGTCTCTCAATCGTGGACCTGCATCCCCAAGTACTGTGTCTTGAGGACAGTACCCCTCTTGGCGCCCGTAATACCAATCCTCACTACCTCACCCGGGACGACGTCAACTAGATTGTCTTCAAACTTGACCCCATCGTCTTCGCTCAAGACTGCTAGTCCCTTGATAGGCACCTCGGCGCTGATCTCAACGTACTTGCATCCTTCAGAAAGTTCAGTCTTGAGGTTCTTCGGCTTTTGGAAGTGTAGGTACTTCAGTGGCTCGGGCCAGTTGACATATCGTGCAATCTGTTTGCCGTCCTGATAGAAGTAAGCTGCAACAACAGTCTTCGCCTCAAGGTCAGCGTTGGGCTTCTCAACGGGGACATCCAGGATCTTGATTTCCGTCGAGCGGTTACTCTGGAGAACTAGATCAGAAACAACTGTCTGGGAGTATGTCTCCTTTCCGGTCTCAACGTCCCAGGCCTTGACAACACAGTCTACAGTGACGTCTTCCAATTTGAGGTTACTTCCCCAGATCTCAACCTTGACCTTTGTCTCAATATCAACCCTTGTGTATTTGTTCTTGGGGTGCTTGTGCTCTCTACGCGTCATGCCAATAGTGATAGGTGCCATCTCCCGTTTGATAGTGAAGTAGGAATGCTTGGGTCGAAGGTAGTAGTCACAGATGGCCCATGAAGTGACCGGCCAGCAGTCGTTGGTCTGCCAAACCAAGACACCACTACAATACTCCTTTTTCGGACCCTGCCACTGTCGCTTCCAGAGCCGATAGGCTGAGGCTAGGGCCTCGGCTTGTAGCAGTTGGCTATAGTAGACGTAGTCTTCCAAGGGCTCCAACGTGAAACGGAAATTTTCAGCCATGTACAGGCCCAGTCGACGCAACTGTCCATCTGCCTTGTTGTGAAAGTCAATCGTGGATGACGTAGAGAATCTCTCGGGGTCATCTTTGCCTTGAGGGAGGAAAGCATCGATGGTCCTGATATCTGGGAAGCCTTCCATACCAAACTCGGAAACGAATCTCCCAACGAGCTTATCGTAGTCTTGGTACTTTTGTTGAGAGCCGTGCCAAACATTCCATTGATGTATATCTCCAATAGTTGGGTCAGTGGTCACCTTGCCACCCCAAGGGCTGGCAATATGATAGACGGCATTTGGATGAAGATCATTGCAAGCGTCTGGAAGTAGCTTTTCGTAAATGTAGCGAGCAGGGAAGTCGGTCTTTAACCAGCTCTCTGGGTCATGGTCGTCGAAGTCGTACGTGAGATTCTCGGACTCGCGCAGCTGGTAGTCCTCGTTGTTGCCGGCCCACAGAACAATTGATGGATGGTGGCGAAGTCGCTTGATATTGGCTCGAGCTTCCCGGTCAATAGACTTGAGTAGGTCAGGCCAGGCAGGGTAGTTGCCACAGGCGAACATGAAATCTTGCCAAACAAGGATGCCGAATTCATCGCAGGCATCATAGAAGACATCTTCTTCGTAGATGCCACCTCCCCAAACTCGGAGCATAAACTGATTGCCATCAGCAACGAGCTTGACCCAGTCTCGGTATCTCTCTTTCGCAATTCGAGGAATGAAGTTGTCTGCTGGAATCCAGTTACTTCCACCGCAGAAGATCGGGATGTTATTGACTTGAAAAAAGAAGCTGGTGCCTGGCTGGCCATCTAACTCTCGTTCAACAAGTTCAAGTTTGCGAAGGCCGATCTTCTTGGAGATTGTATCTATCTCGTTATCGTCCTCGAGGAGGGTGGCCTTGATGGTATACAGGGGTTGTTTTCCATATCTGACTGGATACCAGAGAGCGGGATCTTGAATGCGGAACGTAGTGGTTGCGTCTCTGTCTTTTACATGTGCGGTTTCAGATGCAACCTTCTTTCCGTCTAAAGAGACTTCAAAGCGGACTCGTGAGGCTTTGCCTTCAACAGCCGCATGAATAACAACATCCGCCTTCTTAAGAGACTTCTCAACTTCTGACTCAGTGTAGAGATCTGCGATATGAGACTCGTAAATTTCAAGGTTGATGGGTCTCCAAGGACCGCATGTAAGCAAAGCAGGGCCCCAATCCCAGCCCTAAGAATTAGTTAGATACTATGAAACATCAAAGATGGAATGGCCTACCCAGTGGTACTGTGCCTTTCTGACAGGCAGTCTTGAGCCATCCCCATTCCAGACAACATACTTGTGGTCAGGGTGCTCTTCCACTAGCTTCCATCCTCTCAAATACGCCGCATCAAATGTGATGCGGAGCTCATTCTCGCCATCCTTTTTAAGATTCTTTGTGACGGCCACCCGTTCGGGAACAAACATGTTCTCGGTCTCAAGAATCTTTTCCCCATTCAACTCAACCTTGGCGAAGGTATCAAGACCATCAAAGGCCAAGACCGCCTTTGCACCATCATGAATCTCGGGGCTAGAAAAGGTCGTCTTGTACACCCAGAGAGCCTCTCCGACCCATTGAACTTTGACCTCGTTTTTTCCGATATAAGGGTCAGGAATCTTCTTATGGTGTAAGAGGTCAAGATGAACGTTTGTTGGAAATTGAGCGACTGGTAAATAAGAGGAGTCGTCTTCTTTCACCTGCTTGAATTGCCAGTTCTTGTCGATCGGGGTAACAGTGCGGGGAGCCATGACGAAAGAGCCCCAGTGAAGCTATGTTTGTGCAAGTTGCGAGGGAAATCAGCGGGGATTTATGAAAGAGTGAAGTCGAAGGATACAGAAAATGAATAGAAAGGAATGTTTTGATTGACGATCCGACCTTTTTGACGTGGAAGGAACCATGGCTTTAACCGGGCAATTTGCCAGGGCAGGTGCAAGTCATGATGACCCCGCAATGAAGGACAAATGCATCCAGGTACGAGCAATACCCTGTAAGACGTCCGATTCTTTTACCCAATCTCAGTGGTCAGTTTCTGAGCGACAACATGTTATTTCGACAATTACAATGCAGAAGAGCTTCCACAAGCGCTTCTGCGGCACGTCGATCCGTCACACCAATAAGCGCCAACTCCAGTTCTCCAAGCCAAGCTGAATTCCGTGGCGATGAATGGTGGAATTTCAGTGGTGGTGAGTAACTCGCTCAGCTTTACTTGTGAATTTGACGTCAATATTAGACCACCACTTACACCCAATCTTTAGTATAGATGGTGTTGACCTTCACTGCTTGCTTCTGAAGAATAGGGTAACTGATACTCAAATCAAACACTTATGTCGACGGGTAGTATCTTCTCAAAGTCTTCAAGAAAGGGTTGTCATTGCTAAGTACATTATTCGGACTCAAGTACAGCTCGCGAACTCGCTTAGTCGTGTGCAGTTCGCAGCTTCATATCGTCTATCCAAACGCCAAACACGCTGATGAACGAATGTCTTCCTAAACACTACCGGTGTAACCATGCAACCGGATATCTTCAAGCACTGCCTATCCATTACCGGGAGTTCCAAGCGGAAAAGAGGTAAAGCGTAACTTGAACAATCAACAACAACCGCCCCCTCTCCGCCGATTGCTCAGCGTAAACACCTCTTCCCACTCCCGTAGTCCCCAGTTCTGCGTCCTGTTCTTTTTCCTCCTCCTTCTCAATCCGCTATGCCCATCTTCCACAGTGGCGCCTGTCATAGAACTCTTGATACTGCCCCCGTCACTAGCTGTGTTCCATCCACCACTGTCGCCATACTGGATTCCACTCGCTGGGTCATCAGGGTCGATTTCGCCCAATTCAATCTTTGTGAGAATTATTCTTGCTAGTCTTTCGAAGATCTCGTCGACGCCCTCGCCGTTGAATGCGCTCGCTTCTGTCACCACTGATATTCCTGCTGTGCTGGCCCATCGACTGGATTCTGCTCGCGTAACTTCTCTGCCTTCTGGTGCGACTGTGGCCCTTTGTTGGCTTCCTGCGCTTATGGATGCCCCGCGATCTCTAGTCGTGGCTGTACTTGTATAAGAGCTGCCTCCAGCGCCGAGCATACCAGATGTCAGTGTTGAGTTGGATGTGACGCTCGTTGGTGTCGGGGGCGGAAGACTTGTGTCGACGAGTGTATCAGTAAGATCTAGTTTGTTGCCAACGAGCATAAGACTCAGGTTCGGTGATGCAAGCGCTCGAGCGTCATTTAGGAAAGGTTGTAGGTTTCGGAAGGATGCATGAGAGGTGAGGTCGTAGACAAGGATAGCGCCCGCGGCGCCTCGATAATAGGAGCGAGAGACTGATCGGAAACGCTCTGTTCCAGCTGTATCCCAAAGCTAAGTCCTGTTAACGGGCTTTCTTTGTCGCGCGATCGAGTGTAATGTACCTGGAGCTTTATCCGTTTCCGCCTTGACCCGGTACCAACTTTGATGATCTTCGTAGCAAACTCTACGCCGATAGTTTGCGACGATAAGACTCTCCATTCATTCTTGACAAAACGGTGTAGTAGGCAGGACCTATAAAGGCACAAAACAGTCAGTCAAAGACTCTGGTGTAGAAGCGCCGCTGTCGCGAAAGAAAGTGTGCGATGTCGCTTGCTAAATGTTTCGATAATGACGTACTTTCCAGTTCCGCTGGGCCCAAGCAATATAATCTTGGCCAGGTAGTCATACATGCTCCCTAGCTCCTTATCATGGTCAGCCGCTTGGTATCGCGTCGACGACGATGTTCTTCTCGCCTACCTGCTCCCGAGCCGTACCCGAGCTCTCCTCGCTCGCGCCGGAGTGCCGGCGAGGCCTGGTCATTGCGGGCAAATGACGAGATGGCGGAAAATAATGGCGGATATGTTTTAGGCGGTCGGACGGTATCGCATGTCTTGGCTCTGGGTTTGTTATCGCGGTAGGTATTTAGGAAGGCAAGTCGAGTATGTAGAGGGTTGCTGTCGGATGTAGGTAGAATATAGAGGAGAAGTAGAGCGTCCTTGTTCTTGTTTGTGTAGCCGTTAAAATTGGCAAGAAAAGACGATGCAATGCGATCGATCCCTGGACATGGATGGAATGGATGTTTACATGCCCTGTTCTGTCTGCTCGGTGAGAGCGAGGGTGGGTCGCCCTGTAAATAGCTGGCGTCCTCGCGCTGTAACGGGAGATAGCGTCATTAGGTGATGATAACGTGACGATGTATCCGTAAATGGGAGCCCGATAACACCGCCTGAGCTCGAGTGGAGCGTTGTCGCTGCTTGAATTCTTGGGATAAGATAATTGGCCACAGATAAATAGATTTGCCGATCGGTAGAGATGCAAAATCTGGGGTTCTCGGAACATGAAATCTCTGATTTTTCTACTGACATGCAGCCTGATTCACACTAAATGCGTCCCCGCCTGGGCCTTTGCTTGCGACTTGCGGTGCATCATGTCTGCATAATTGACAACGCGGCATTTGTCTCAGAGATCCAGTGTCTTTTCAACCCTGAAGTTACGAATTGAAACAGAAAATACAAGAATAGAACTGTGTCTTGCTATTCAGTTGACGTTTGCACTATTCCGGGTAAATAAGCTTATTACGTATGGAAGGACTAAGACAGTCACACACAATTTTTAGCTGTCTGACCTAGGTAAAAAACAGAAGCTGGTAACAGCCAACCGTCTCTTACAACTCCAAAATATTGTATACTGTAGGCCAGCCATAGAAAACCGATATACCATCTCCTCCAATGTTTACGCTGTACGTGGCATTGTTTGCCGTCGACGTAGGACCAAATGCAAGGCCTGAGAACCTTATTGACCCATTGGCTCTTCAAACGGATACATACGTATTAGCCACAGGCCGATCTGCGGCCAATCTTGAGTCACCAAGCATGGGTCTACATAAAAGCCCCCTCCCGCAATTTTCTCTCCCAGCAGAGTCAAGCAAAGTAGACAACATCAGCTAGCAACACGACACATAGATCGAACACAGCAAAACCTTGATGCTAAAGCAGACACAATGCAGTCCGCCAATAACCCCATCTCCCACCATACCAGCCACACCATGGGCCAAGGTGCCGCCAGTAGCAACGGCGGCGACAATAGCTGCGGAGCGAATTGCGTGGATAACCATGTTGTCCATGCAATTGGCGATGGAGATGGGGTTGTCCGAGTCTCGGGTGGAGAGACTGGTAAGACTCTACGTGATAGACAATGTTGGTTCCCAGCTAATGCTTCATAGGAAACGATGGAGGCCTCGTCATGGAAGCCTCCGTAACGGATGTTGGTGTCAGCGACTTGAACCAAACTACTACTACTACTACTACTACTACTACTACTACTACTACTACTACTACTACTACTACCTACGATGAATCAGACGATGAGAGCTCCCTTGCGGACAGCTCCGGCTCCATTAGCGATGGACCCAGCTTTGGAGGAACTTCGATCCGATCCCTGGGCAGCATGTCCAACTGGAGCATCATCGACACTACTCTGCGTGAGGGCGAGCAGTTCATCTATGGCGATTACGACACCGAGACCAAGCTCAAGATTGCTCGAGCGTTGGATGCCGTCGGTGTTGAATACGTGAGTTTGTTGAACAAGCAGACAATAGATCTCAACTAACACATATCCCAGATCGAAGTGACCTCGCCTGCTGCTTCTCCTCAGTCCAAGTTGGACTGCGCGGCTATCTGCAAGCTGGGTCTCAAGGCCAAGGTTCTTTGCCATATTCGATGCAACATGGACGATGCCAGAATTGCAGTTGAGACCGGTGTCGATGGAATGTAAGTCAATTCAGCATCTCATGTAATTCTCACATTCAACTAACATTTTCACCACAGCAACATGTGCATCGGTACTTCCACTCAGCTCATGACGCATTCCCACGGAAAGGATCTCGACTGGATCGCCGCCAAGGCGAAGGAGGTCATCGAATTCACCCAAGCCCACGGCATCGAAGTCCGATTCTCCGGCGAGGACTCTTTTCGCTCCGACTTCAGCGAGATTCTGAAGCTCTACTCGCTCATGGACCGTCTCGGCGCCCACCGCGTGGGAATTGCCGACACCGTTGGCGGCGCTACTCCTCGTGAGGTTTATGAAAAGATCTCCACGCTCAAGCAGATGGTCGGATGCGACATCGAGACTCACTTCCACAATGACACTGGATGTGCTGTCGCCAACGCCTACACTGCGATTGAGGCTGGGGCCACTCATATTGACACCACTGTCTTGGGCATTGGAGAGAGGAATGGAATTACTTCCCTTTCCAAGCTCTTTCAGTGCATGCTTCAGATGGGCCATGACTCTGTTCTGGCCAAGTACAAGCTTGAGAAGATTCCTGCTCTCGAACAGCTTGTCGCTGAAGCCGTCCGCATCGAGATCCCCTGGAACAACGCTTCACTTGCAGCATATCTCTGAATGTAACAAGTCGGAGATCGCCTCGCAAGGCTAGAGCTAGATGGCTCAACTTACCTTTCTACTGCTAAGCTTTTAGTGAAGAGTATCAAGTAGTACTCATATAGTGAATTGAAAAATCCGTTTAAGATAATGCTGCCGTCGTGTATTCAAGTTACCCTGCACCATCATGTTGCCAGAACAATTGGGTACAAACTAAAAATTGATGCCGAACCGTTCGGAACCTGCCATTATTTTGATTATGATGTCAAAAGTTCGATACGCTTCAATAGTCTCACTTGCACTGTAGGTAATCGCAAGCATATCATGACTTATGAGGACCCATCAAAGGTGACGAGTTGCCGAGGCATGTTCGGGTCAGCCACCCCCAGATTCCCCACGTGTGCTTAAATCGCCGAGAATGAATGACATCCCCAGGTTAATTTGATACAAGCTCATTCCCCGTTCTTTTCATACCTTTTTACATTTCGTACATTCGATAGCCATCATGAAGATTCAAGGCCGAACGTTTGTCATCTCCGGAGGGTAGGTAGAGTCACATCAAAACACCCTTTCACATGTCGCTGACTTGATGTAGGGCTTCTGGTCTGGGCCAGGCATGTGTTGAAGATATATGCGCCAATGGCGGTAATGTGGCCATTCTCGACATGAATGAAGAGAACGGTCAAGAATTAGTCAAGAAATTGGGTTCATCGGGCAAATTATTTGAATGCAATGTGCTGGAGACAGAGAGCGTGACCAAGGCTGTCCAAGGTGCTGCACAATGGGCCAACGAGACAGGGAAGCCTCTTGGAGGTGTGATTGCTGCTGCTGGTGTATCAACTCCTGCGACGGTAAGACTCTTCAAATTTGTGATTGGGTGTGTGAGACCGTAACTGACTGAATAACTAGATGCTCGACCGCAATGGTGCTGCCTTCAGCCTTGATGACTTTGACTTTGTTATCAATGTCAACCTCCGCGGCACAATCGACCTCGTACGTCAGACCCTTGAGCACCTTGCAAAGGTAGAGCCCGAGGGATCTGACGGCGAACGAGGTGTTGTCATCATGGTCGCTTCATCAGCAGCCTTCGATGGACAAAAGGGTCAAGTCTCTTATTCTGCCAGTAAAGGCGCCGTGACGGCCATGACACTTCCTATGGCACGAGATCTTGCTCGATACGGCATCCGAGTCGTGACTATTGCGCCCAGTCTGTTCGACAGCCGAATGACGAGCGTGATGCCCGAGAAGGTCAAGAAGAGTCTTGAGGGCGCGATGGAATTTCCCAAGAGAGCTGGTCAGCCCAAGGAGTTTGCGCAATTGGCGCGACAGGGAATTGAGAATGTCATGTTGAACGGTGTTGTTATTAGACTGGATGGTGCTATGAGAATGCCCAGCAAGATGTAAGATAGATTTTCATCTCGGATTATCGAGAGTCGTTGGATTTGTCAGATTTGAAGCATAATAATAGATTGGTAATTTGAATGATCATGTAATTCATTTTCTTCACTAGACACTGAAGCTTGGCCTTGCTCTGCCGAGAACAGCATCCGGGGGAGCTATTGCGAGATCGGATCGGCATCCGGCAGAGAACTTAGCCACCTCGCGACATTCGTAATCAACGTCACAACCTTCCGTTTAAAACTCTAGAATACCTTCACGAATAACATCTAGAAAGAGAATTAATAGCGGCTGCTCTAAAGAATTGACCCGATATCCCTTGCTCAGAAGCAACGGGCCTGGTACAGTGTCTATAATTCGACTACTTACACTGCTTACCTCTCCATTTAACTCATACGCCAACACAGCGACAGCTCTATCAATCACGAAATCTATTGCAGCTCCAACAATGGCTCCTACCAAAGTGGCAATTTTGGACGACTACCAAGGGGTTGCTGACCCCTTCTTCAAGAAACTCGACCCATCCAAGTATGAAGTCGTGTCTATCAAGGATACGTTGCTGCCTTACAACCACCAAGACAGCTCACAATCGAACAAGGATGCTCTAGTTGAGAGATTCAAGCCCTTCGATGTTATCTGTAAGTATCAAGTCTTGTTAGAAGGTCCGAGAATAAGCGGCTGATCGACCTAGGCACGATGAGGGAGCGCACACCCTTCCCTCGAGAGTTGATTGAGCAACTCCCTTCTCTGAAGCTTCTCCTCACCACAGCATTTCGCAACAGATCCCTGGACCTAGATGCCCTCAAAGAACGAGGGATCCCAGTTGCCGGAACAGTTGATAAGCCCCGTAGCGGCAAGCCAGTGCTCGCTGGCACGGGCAGCACCACTCAACACTGCGTTACTCTCATCCTCTCGCTCGCTCGAGGCATCGCCAGGGATGACGCCGCTGTCAAGGAGGGACTGTGGCAAACCGGTCTCGCGACTGATCTCTCAGGAAAAACTTTGGGTGTCCTCGGCCTCGGGAGATTGGGAAGCGCAGTCGCGAGGATTCTTAACGTCGCATTGGGTATGAAGATTATCGCGTGGAGTAGCAATCTCACACAGGAGGCGGCAGACGAGAAGGCCAGGGAAGCTGGTCTTCCTGTTGAGGATGGGGAGGGTGAGAAGACGTTCAAAGTGGTAAGCCGAGATGAGTTCTTCAGAACTGCCGACGTGGTGTCTGTCCACCTTGTCCTGTCTGATAGGACACGCGGCATAGTCAACAAAGAGGACTTGGCAAAGATGAAGCCAACAGCCTTGTTTGTCAATACCTCTCGCGGACCCCTCGTCGTGGAGAGAGATCTTCTTGATCATCTCAAGGCCGGCCGTATCAGGGGCGCAGCTGTCGATGTCTTTGAGCCGGAACCTCTCCCCGCCGACAGTGAGTGGCGCAACAAGAACTGGGGTCGTGATGGATCAAGTCAAGTTCTGGTCACCCCTCACATGGGCTATTGCGAGGAGGACACCATCAAGTCGTGGTATGAGCAACAGGTTGAGAACATTGAGCGATGGGCTGCCAACGAGCCGTTACACAACGTATTCACCTAGGTATGATCGGCGAAAGAGAAAAGACAAGGACAAGGCTTCTGGAAGATGCTTATGTGCAGAGCCGAGTTTCATCTCAACGGCAGAGGCAAAAGCAAATCTGAACAAACAAGCACGACTGCATACATCCATGACCTTGACAGTTCATCCTGATAGGCCCTATAGTCGAAACAATGGGAACGAATCCTTTGATATGCATGAGACTGCAGTTGATGATCGGCGCGTTTGGGACGGGCCTACCCGTTGTATCCCTGATGATACGACGGCCCCGGATATTTTGATATGCGTATGAAATGTCTCTTTCGTTGAATTCACACCGAATTGGAGCCTTGGACCCACGGTGATAGTCGTGGATCAAATGACTTACATGTCCATGGCTGTAGATCATGGCCCCATGAGTTCCCTCGTGGATTTACTCGACACATCCCCGTTCCTTCAGGCTGGAATGCATGTCTTGATTCATATACATGCAGAGGTGATGTGTTAGAGTATTATGTTCACAGGTGAGGATCTGCAATGTTTCGGACCTCGACTTCTGTATATCCAATGACGATTGGTATTGTTGTTGATATTTTGGGTCGAAACGACTATCACACAGTCCTAGCAACTATTTGCTCCGTGATATGATCAACGAATGATTGATAGTCTTTGCCGCCATGTTTAGGTTCAGCAGACCTCTTTCGCAGCCCTAATCTACATTCATCCTACAGCATCGCAAGGCGGTTCTCGACCATGCCTGATCAAATGCCGAATTTCCACAATGCACTCGACATTACCAGTTGAGGCAGAATAACCGCCAGATTACATATCTCACCGCTAAAGGCGCTGAGGAGGCGTGTCTTGTTAATATCAGCCTTAGGAGCTTCAGCTGGTATCGGGAACGGCGGCGCGTCCCTTTCTGGCTGCATTTGAGACATTGAAGCCTCGAAATCGAAAACGTGACCTTCTAAGCTTAGCTATTCTCGCTCTTATACGATTAAACTAAGCCTAGAAAAGGTGATCTCAGCATAAGACAGATGTGATTCAAGCCTCTTCAGGAACATGGCTTTTTTCGAGTCTTGGATTATTGATGTTAGTCGCCATGCTGGCCTCGTTTAATGGCGTGACGGTTCGGGGACGGCACGGAGCGATGGATTATATCGTTCGCTTCAGGGACTATCGTGGATCTAGTGGTAATAGTATCCCTTGGAGTTGCAGATTTGCACTAGGATTTTAGGGCAGGGATGCTGTTTCTGGAGTCTCGTGGCTATGGTGCTGGTGTTTTGGCCGCTTATGGTGGAGCAGACTCGGTTCATGGCTTGCTGAGGAGCAGCTGGAAAGACTGGATATGGATTGATACATGTCTCCTCTCCTCTCTTTGGTCTCTCTTCGATCTCTGTCAGATAACGGGGTCCGAGTATCCTATCCTATTGTTCCCCGCGCATACCCCCCTTGTCTCTAAACGGGACAGTTGCATCATGATCTCTACAAGGGTCAAGGGTCTAGGCTCTGTAAGCTCGTCTCGTTGGACTATTGAGCCCTTGTCTGATGGGGATTGTGATTGAATCCGCATGTCGCAAACAGAGGACTCTTTTGGAAACCCGATTCTCTGGACCCTTTTATTATTGTTATTGTCTCTAGCCTTTTTCGCTGAGTCGGCCTCTCTGAGTCGAGTCTCAAGGACATTTCATTCCGATGCAAGAAAGCGGAATAGACCCAGCCAATAGAGTTGATAAAAATAATTGCAGAGAGTGACGTCGCTTAGATGGTTCGAAGTTAATTTTGCAGAGACACAACTGAAGTTAGGCTACAAGCTCAAAGCCCTCAACGTCATGAAAGATGCTGCTCTAGCTTCAACGGACCATGGTGTCATAGACGCTACATCTCTTGAAGCAAAGCAGATGACCGTTGAAGAGAGCCAAAGCCAAACGGCACAAGAAGGGGAGCTTCGTCGATGACTCGATGGTACCTGGTAACTAGAGCACGCCCGCCCGTTGAATCTAAATGGTACTTGCCGCCGTTGACAGGCATGGATGATCCTGGTTCACTCATGCTCATACTCTTTCTCATACTGTGGTGACTGTGGATGCGGATGTGCATGTCTTCGGACTGCTCCTTTGGTTAATGAGATAGGTAGGTAATTTTCACATGCGGGGATAAGCGAGTGAGATCAACTGAAGCGAGCTGAAGAGACAGATGAAACTTTCCTCTCCCCCTCTGGAACTAGCCCTTCCAAGCTCTGCTTGCCCGAGACGGACCCGTCAGCGACATTCTCCCTCTGGTGCAAATGGTCCAACTTACACGAGAAAACTTGAACCTTCTCCACACGTCATGAGAGCTTTCAGCTTCAGTACCTTTGCGCTTTACCCTTAGTGATCTAGTTTTCGGATGTCTCGTCTCAATCTTCCATCGTCACGACTCACCAGCTGAGGGAGCGGCAATAGTCGCCTTTTTCTCTCTTTTCATGTATGCGGGTACGCCTTGAAAAAAAACAAAACGCCATCTCCGACTAAAGTCGATGTGCCTTGTGTGTGCTGACCTGTAAACATCATCACCCAGAGAACAGCAGTTGACTTGATACTGTGGTAAGCAAATAGTGTGCTTGGATGATCAACATGATGCTTATATGCTTGGTTTCTCAAAGCCACTGTAACTATATCCTATAGTAGACAGCATCATGTTGGGCAGACAGACATGAACAAAAGGCCCTCGTTCAGATAAACCCCCCAGGAACCTTGTCCGTGAAGGACAAGCAATCACAAAGAAAGGCTATCCCCGTAGCGTAACCCGAGTTACACCTCTCCTCTCCTCTCTCGGGAGTATCAATATCAGAGCCAGACTCCATTCCATGTCGTACCCTACCTTAGGTACCTACCCTGCCGATGTGATGCCCACCCCCGATGAGAGCTGAGATGCAGATGCGGCTACTACACTCAGGGACGACGCCACTTGCACCGTTTGGTCTGAGGTGTGGTTCGATTGAAGATATCATTGCTCGGGAGGTTATGCCCTTCCCTCCTGCTCTTTCTTGCTCTCCTCGATATAAAATCCCCGAGTACGCCATCGAAGACACTCTCTTTTGTCAGGTCCCTTAGTACCCAGTTGCCATCTTTTCTTACCTACCTCACCATTCCTGAGCGTCCTACTCCTCTCCCTTTCCTATCATACACGCACCGTCACAAACCACTAAAATCAAGTCACAATGGTTCAATTCACTCGTGCCGACACGGGGATGTCTGGCTTGCCTACTGAGGAAGCCGTAGCGGATCGCAGAGCAGGCAGTCCCATCCCCAACCGTGTAAGAAACGCCATCGTCATCGTCCTCGGCGAATTCTGCGGAACCTTCATGTTTCTTCTTCTCTCCTTCATCGGTGCCCAGACTGCCCTTGTTACCAACAACCCTACCAATTCTACTGCCCCCTTGGAGCCCTTTTCATTGATGTACATTGCTGCTTCTTTCGGTACTGCTCTCGCCGTCAATGTGTGGATCTTCTATCGTGTCAGCGGTGGCATGTTCAACCCGGCTGTAAGTGACACTCGCACCGACTTGTCTGATCGACTCACATGCTCATTCTTTTTTCTTCTCTAGGTGACCCTCGGTCTGGTCCTCGTCGGTGCTGTACCACCTCTTCATGCCCTTGCTATTATCCCTACACAACTCGTTGCCGCTATCGCCGCTGCGGGAGTCACCGACGGTCTCCTCCCCGGACCCCTCCTCGTCACAAATGCTCTCGGCAATGGTACAAGCATTGCTCAGGGTGTGTTCATGGAGATGTTCCTCACTGCCCAACTTGTCTTGACTGTTTACTTCCTTGCCGTTGAGAAGCACCGCAGCACACATCTGGCCCCCATCGGCATTGGTATCTCTGTCTTCATCGCTCACATCTGCCTGACAAACTGGACTGGCACATCCATCAACCCTGCTCGATCCTTTGGCCCTTCGGTTGTCGCTGGTTTCCATGGGTATGATTGGATCTACTACCTTGGTCCCTTCATGGGCTCTTTCCTGGCCTTCGGCTGCTACAAGATCTTTAAGGTGCTCGAGTATCAGACCGCCAACCCTGGTCAGGATGATGACGATTTGGAGAGGGGTAGCAAGCATCACTTCTTTGACCATCACGAGAAGGAGCCCATCGCTCACTCCCAGACCGACACTCTTGAGCCCAAGGACCATGGTGCTGCCCCACGAAATGATAGCGTCATTGATGGTCAGATGAGCCATGCCTAAGTTGTTCCCGGCGATCGGGGCTGCTCAAACCACATGTCCAGCACTGGCTGTATGACCGTGTGAGCAGTACAAGATTACGAGTTCCGTTACATTCTGTCATGGTACAGCGGGCTCTGACACAAGGCTGGATCTATGTGTTGAACCATTCACTACTACATCGTATCAGTGTATGTAGCACGACGATGAATTTCTAATGGGTGTTGTTGGGAAAGGAATGGAGGGGAAATTTGAGCATACGAGGAGGATGCATGATTGAACGAGGACTTTTTAGCATGGGTTTCGGAGTACATACAGTTTCAATAAGACATCTTGGCTTGCTAAATATAGTGCAGCTCAGTTGCCCCGATTATCTTGAAAGTCGTTCCACTGGTCGTCGTCGTCCTTGGCCGTCAATCCTATCGCCTCTTCCTCCTCGGGACTCCCAAGGTTCTTCACCCGCATACAAGCCTGGAAACCAACAAAAGCTGTCCAAAACGGCAGTGGGATAAAGGTTATAACACCCCCGATGTATACTATATAAACCACAAACCCAAGGTATGATTGTATGAATACGAGAGTTTTGTTGATGGGTCCGTAACCCGAACCAATGAGGTCTGTGAAGACCAGGCCGGCAACCATCAAAATGCCAAAGATCCAGAGGATACTCAAGACTGGAAGGACCATAGCCCAGTCTCTCGTTTCATAGAAGAACCGGTGGAAACGTTTGGTCCATGGGGCCAGAATAGGTATGCGAGAAGCTGTGGTGAAAAGGAGAAACAGCTCAAACGTGAAGGGGAGAAGCAGGAAAAGGAGACGGAAGGACAGTGAGTGCACGAGAAGCTGGTATGTTTCTGCGAACAAGAGGAAGCCAAATTGGTACGACCATAGGCCATAGACAACGGTCTTGAAGAGAGATCTTTCGGTCGACATTGTGATATTGCGATGAAGCTGAGATGAGATGTTGTTGGTTTTGAAGTTGACGCAGGGGCAAAGTAAAGTAAAGTGAGCGCTGATCACTGATCACTGTGCCCCGCTGTGCCGCTCGATGGATGATCCTTGTTGCAGATATGGAAATAGCACGGCAACAAGAGCCGTTGGTGACAATCATTCCATGTGAATCATTCTGATCTTTGCAGTTCAATATTGACATTATGCTACTAGTTTCGGCAATTTTAAACTATAGGTAAGTACACTGGGAGTTGGGAGAAAAGAGCTTGACCGTTGACAGCCTCTCAGCTACAAGAGACACATCAAGCGCATGCAAGTCCCACTTACACAAGCATCCAATAGATTACCAAGTCAAGACCAGAAGAGTCAGTTCTATGATGCACAGAGATTGTTCTCGAGTGCTTGGCTCAATGCTGTAAAATTTATCGATCAACTTATGGGATGTGACAGTTTCGCAAATGCATGCATCGATGCTCATGTAAAAGATCACATGCAGTGCTTGGCGACCAGGACATACACAGAGGTTGTGTTAGTGAGAGGCAACATATCGGCTGAGAAGAAGATGCAGGTGCAACAATAACTGCAGGTATGACAGTTAGAAGACGGGATAAAAAGGAGCAGTTGTCCCGTGTCTGGAGGGATATTGTAGTCGATGTAACAATATTGGACTGTGACATGAGAGAGTAATCAGGTGATATATATTCATCAGAGGGCGGGCACGGTTCTTTGTGACGTAACACCATGTTAGGCTCGAACTGACTCTATACTTTTGGAACCATCAGATCTGGTTGTAAGTAGAGCATCCACTGCACCGGGCATCGATGCTTCTCTTCGGCCGCAAAGTGGATATTATCGGGTCCGTTCGACCGAGGTTGACAATTATGGCCTGGAGAAAAGGATACTTGACGTAGATGAAGCAGCATTGAATGAGATGTTAATTGGTGATTGAAAAGGAATTTAATGTATAGGTAACGAGATAATCAACAAGGTATTGAGTGCTCCATATATACCGAGATAATATTTTATCAGATGCCGTAGCCAGTTCCTCGGTATCCGGGAATGGCTGCGGAGCTCCATATGTAAAGTGTTCCTGTTCCGGTTCCGGTTTCGCCTCGTATGTCATTTAGCTTGATGTACGAAAATGAAATCAAAAGCATATAATATATATATCTAAGAGAACTCGAGTTCCATTAGTAAATCTTGGCAATATAGTTGCGAATAAGAACAAATTCGTCCCAGAAACTGTCGATCTTCCAGGCTATGACGACTGAAGAGGCCCAAGTTACAGCACATCCAACGCTACCTATACTGTCCTATACCGTTGGCTGCGCCTTCTCTTGGAACAGCCATCCCAAAGAGCACATGACCCACGTGATCATCTTGTAGTTGGTCCTGAGGCTTCCAATGGGATATGCCTGATCAATCCTTGCCTTTTACATTTGACTGTCTACAGGACCATTCAATACAATTCAACACATCGCATCAATTGATTAGAGGACCTGACCTCTCTTACACAGAGTCTGGTCAGGCCTGACAGGCCTAGAACCCGCCCCCACTTGTCCCTCCGAGCTGGGGCCTCCCGACAGTCTTGCCCCGGCCCAACGCAGCATCGGCTCCGTGTATTTTACCTTTACTTTACCTTTGACTCGAAACAGTCACAAGGCGGAGAATTCTCGTCCTAGTCGGGCTTTTATCTACTGTGCCTTGTTTTTTTACCCCTAAAGGAGAAAACCACCTTCGCTGTCTTTATACTGTCCCTCGGCGTAGTAATCTACAGCTTCATTCATCGGACAGACCCGGCCCAAGTTCTAGGTGGGGTTTCAATGTCCAACGCGGGGCTCACTCTCTGCTTCTGACGACTCTTGCCGATTTAATTACAATACCGGCACTGACCTGGGCTGACCTGGACTGGACGAGAAACTCACCAGGCTTTGTGGCACATCATGTCGTCGGTCAAAGCCACGAAGAAGAGCGCTTTCTCTTGTGAGCCGTGCCGTAGACGCAAGGTCAACACAATCGCTATTTCGCCCATAAACCTGTACTGATGCCCTTTAGGTCAAATGTGGCGGCGAGCAACCGATTTGCAATCGCTGTGCTGCTAGAAGCGATGACTGTATTTACAAACTGTGGGACTCACCTCGGCCTCATTATTTTCTGAGCAATTGCTCACGTGTCATAGAAACCCGACTCTGTCTTACACCCAACGCCTCGAGGAGCGCATCAAAGAATTGGAAGACCAACTCGCTGCTATCAAATCTCCTCCCTCAGTGGCCGCCTCAAACCATTCGAGTCCTGGCGTCTGGAACGGCCATGACTCGAATCGCCATCCTGACGAGCATGCAATGACGAGGAGCTTCATGGGTCTCAAGATCGATGACAAGGGTGGCATTACTTACCATGGACCGACTAGTCTCTTCAATCTTCCCAGTGACCCTCACAAGCATAAGCCAGACTCGATATCATCCATTGATTCAGATGCTCATAGGAGAGAGCGATTGGTCAACAATGCATGGCATCAGCGAGCGATGGAAAACCTGTCTGATATCCCAGTAGGTTTTCATCTAATCCACAGTCTCATGAGTCTCGACTTACACCATAAAGGAACCCTTTCAATACCTTCTGAACGTGCATTGGTGCTGGATCCAGCCTCTTTTTAACTTCATCTACAGGCCTGCGTTCACTCGTATGCTTCACCTTGACATCATGTAAACAGTAACTAACACTCACAGGTGACATGCAATCTATGGGGCCGTACTATTCTCACACTCTTCTGAATGCTATGCTCTCACATTCCATCCGCTGGGGTAAAAGCGATCCCTCCACCAAACAGCTGCTGGATCAGTCTTATGATGGAGGAGCTGTCTTTGCAAAACACGCCCGAAGCATGCTTTTCGATGAACTGAGTAGAGGTGTTTGTACTATCCCAACTGTTCAGACACTCCTACTTCTTAGCGCAGGAGAATGTGGTCACGGCAACACGACACAGGCCTGGATTTATAGTGGCATAGCGTTCCGCCTCATTGATCATTTGGGCATTTGTGTTGATGGACAAAGGTATCCAGGATCTGTCCATTTGACTGATGAAGAGGTCGAGATTCGTCATCGACTTTACTGGAGTTGCTATTTCTGGGATAAGATTATCAGCCTATACCTCGGTCGTTCGCCTTCACTGCAACATACACAGGTGTCCCCGCCCCAAATTATCAGTAAGTCTAGCTGTGGAACTATTCAGAAAGCAAATTACTCATAGTTTCTAGTGGACGACTCAGCTGAGAATGAGCTCTGGGTCCCCTTCGACTCTCCTCACGGATCAGATTGGAAGTATCCTCCTGCGACAGCTCACTCAACCTCCTGTTTCATGAGTGCTTGCCGGTTATCGGTCATCTTCAATGAGATTCTCATTCACATGTATGATCCATTACTGGAGAATACTGAGGCAGAGATGCAAGAGTGTCTACAGACGCAAGACCCTGCCATGAGACTATGGTGGGAACAACTCCCTCCTCATCTCAAGATCGAGCTCTCCGCCATGCCTGAGCTGGCACCCCCGTCACACATTGTCACCATGAAGTGAGTCCCAGTTTCTTATTTCTAAAAAGCGCTAGCTAACCTGGCTAAGTGCCTTGTACCATACGTTCAGAATCCTCCTGTTCAGGCCGATGCTCACCTGGCAGGTATACCCAGAGGATGAAGGCCCTCATCCGATGCAAAACCATCTCGTGGAATGTGTCACATCTGCGACATCTATTATAGCCATTTTCGATCTTTTCTGCAGAACATTTACCATCAGCCACTGCGTTCTATCACTCTCATACAGCGTATATATCGCGGCCACAATTTTCCTTTTGCAGGTTCAAGCTACGCCGGAGGACCAACAAGCAGTTCGCAAGCTGAGCTTCTGCGTACGAGCCTTACATCAGGCCAAGACTGTCAACCCAGGTAAGTAGCTCAGGTCAATATCTGTGCAGGCTCTAACACACCGTACAGTCATCTCGAGTGCTTTGGATTTAATCACCCGAGAGATGGCGAATCTTGGACTCGATCCAGGATTTAGTACACCCCAACAACAGCCTCCTCCGCCTATGCCTCAACCTATGCAAGATGTTCCGATGCCTACAGATATACCGATTACCGAGACCGTTTACCCGGCTTCATTTGAGATACCTGCGCAGCAATCCCCTTATGAGCCGGAGCAGCTGTTCCAGACGCCGTGGGCTGACAATATGAATCCGAATGCGATGGCGGTTGACCGAGGAGTTTTCGAGGCTTTGTCTTCATTTGAACCACTGAGTGTACGGGTGGGCGCTATCTACGAGTCAGGAAACAATCCTCAGAATTTTGGATGATCAAGGGTGCTGTGGTAGCAGCACTCTGGAAAATACTAAAACTGGTTTGATCAACGTCAATGACAGCGGGATGTCTAAAAGCCAGGGAACTGATGCGAATTCGTTACCCGGAAACTCAAGTGGACAAGAAAATATCAACTTCCCGACCGGGTATCAAGCACTCAAGGAATCACGGATCTTGGTTCATCCAATAGCAAGAGCTCGTCGACAGAAGAAGCTTACCATGTATTGATGGTCTTGACTGTGAGCTCTTATACCGGGATATCGAAGCCGATTTACCGTTATATACCCGCATCTCCCGAGCCCTCAAGGTCCACGCGCCGAACACTGCTCGGCGCTTCCCGGAGAAGATATTACAGAAGTTACACTTTCACCCATAAACTTCATGCTGGAACATGGATTTGTGGCCTGATTGCCTTTGTAATCTCGTGGTCTGTGTAGAACGGCCCTTGGACTTGTGGTCATTTTAGAAATCGTTCTTCGTTTCAGGTATTGCAATGCAACGGCAGACTGATCGACAGATGAATAATAGGCAGATATGATATAAATACATAAAAGAAAATATTAACAAGTACACATGTCCGTTGCAGAAAGAACGAAATCAGCTTTGAACAGCATGGATGAGATTACCCCTTACCCAGCCATAATTGATTTTAATCACTGATCTGCCTTCCCCGATGGCCTCTGAACATCCCATAAATCTTCAGCATTTCCTCTAAACAGCCGCTCTTTGAGATGCTCATCATCGCTGCACCAGCTCAGCACCCTCTCCATCCAGGGCTTGACATCCAACCCCTCAAACCTTGTGTGAGGCCAGTCAGTTGCAAAAACAACACGAGTCTTTCCAGCGACTCGAATGACCTCCTTAGCGATGGGATCCAAATCGCTGTAGTCCGGGAGCGTGCTCATCCGGTACGCGGCCGACAGCTTGACATATGTCTGGCCGTTTTTGAGCAAGTTGATGAGGGATGAGAAGCCTGGTATGTCGTATGGGTCTGCGCCTGCGTATTTGTTCAGGGGTGGTTGTCCAAGATGGTCTATGCAGAACTTGACATTGAGCTTCGGAATGATGTGTTCAAGGAGAGTGACCATATCCATTGGAACATAGACCTGAACAACCCATCCCAAGGGTCTCACGGCATTGGCGTAAAGCATCAGTTGTCGCTCCAGCTCGGCCGCATCAATCGTAAGTTCATTCGAGAGGATATTGAGTCTCACTCCACGGACACCCAGTTCATGCCAAGAACGCAATTCCTCTTCCTTAACAACCTGAGGGTCAATGGCAACAACGCCTCGTCCACGGTCAGCACCAAGGGCACGCAGACCATCGAGCAGACACGAGTTGTCAAGGCCATAGATAGATGGCTGAACCAGGACTATGTTTCGAAGTCCAACGCTGGTTTCGAAGGCGAGAGCTTGGTCCAGACTATGAGATGTGGGACGGTATTTGGCTGAAGCATCAAGGGTGTAGTTCTCCACGTCGACAATGTGCATGTGTGAGTCCCAAGAGTCGGGAGGAATGCGTTGAGCAAAGTTTGAAGAAGTCATATCGAAGATATTGAGTGCGTTTAATTAATTGAATAGTTTATAGAGGGTTTTAGGGATGATATATAGTCAGTGTAAGTATAAACTATGCTATGTCCGACTGGGGAACCGAGGTCGGCCGAGTCGGCGGGGAAGACGAGACGAGAGTTTAAGCTCCGCAGTTCAACGGACGGTGACTTCCGAAAGTTAATTGACCGAATAGCATCTTTATCTTATCGTGTTTTTATTGCATTTGATATCCTAGGAATTGTTTATGTATGTACAAGCGTGGCATAATAACGGCAGTTATCCTTGTTAGCACGTGTGAAGGGGTTTTGCAGGCATTAGTTACATGCCACGTCCTGAGTGCATAGGGCGCATGTATCGAAGAATAGATACCTAACGGCAATAATGAAATCCACAAATATAGCCGAGATGGCCTCTCACTAACAACCACTGATTGATATCTGTAATTGAGCGTATAAGAAGCGTATGCACAGCCAGCATAGTCTAAGCCGGCAACTTACACATCAGCAGGCGTATAAGCAGAATTACCTATTTCAAATAGGTAGTTCACAGCCCTGCAGCTCACTCCCGTTGCAGTAAATCTGTTCAGGTAATCAAGCACTAAAACACAGCCTCAAGCGCTGATTCCACGGTCCATAACTCGCTAATGAAAATGGAATCGCGGGGCAGAAGAAAAGACCCTTGAACTAAACGGCACGCCACCTTCCCAAAAGAGGAAGCAGAGCTCTGCGAAATCCAATCGTCATCTGCGTCTTCGGTGACGCAGCTTCTATTCTCTAACCCCCGCCACATTTTGGGCTTGGGCTCCCCCCTTGTAAAGATTTGTCATTCACATTGACCGACAGCCCGAAAAAACATTCAAATATCAATGCGATTCCCTCGATAGCTTCACTTCACTCTACCTCCACAGAACAGACCAACACAATCGCATTCATCTCTATTAGCTGCAAAAATGTCCTACCTTCCTCCCTTCTTGGCGCGTCTCGCCCGCCCCTTCACACAATCTACACGTCTCTCAATCGCTCCCGATCAATCCGCTGCATCTGTCATCCCAGAGGGCGCCCAGCGCTGCACCGTCGCTGCGGGATGTTTCTGGGGAACAGAGCATCTGTATCGCAGACACTTTGCCGACAAGGGTCTCATTGATGCCAAGGTCGGATACATTGGTGGTGATCTTGAAAACCCCAGCTACCGCGCCGTCTGTGGTGGAAAGACAGGCCGTACGTCGCAGCCCACATGATTTTTGACTATAACTAACATACATAGACGCCGAGGCTGCGCAAATCATCTTTGACCCTACAAAGATCTCATACGCACAACTCCTAGAATTCTTCTACAAGACGCACGACCCTACGACGCTGAACCGCCAGGGTCCCGATACCGGCCCTCAGTACCGCTCTGCCATTTACTTCCACAACGAGGAGCAGGAGAAGATCGCGCGCGAGGTCACAGAGAAGGCCAACAAGCAATGGTGGAAGGGCGGCATCGTTACCGAGATTGCGCCCGCTGGAAAGTGGTGGACTGCTGAGGAGTATCACCAGCTCTACCTCCACAACAACCCCTCTGGCTATGAGTGCCCGAGCCACTTTATGAGGCCATTCCCACCTCTGGAGTAAAATAAATATTCGAGGATAATTGCATTTTGGCTTAGCAGACGGATGGAAATGGCACCAATGATATCAGGAAACTTAACTTGGAATGAGGCAATGAGAGGACAGAAATTCAACATATACCTAGTCACAATATTTAAACATTTGAAATCCACTCCACCATGATCATTTGAAGTTTTTTTTATTTCTTATTTTCTCATCCTAAAATTAAGAAATTGGAAAATCCTTCCACTTCTAGACCGGTTTCAACAAAAAACAGGAGAGGAGTTCACTAATCCTCCATCCGAGTAATAATCCTTTTGCTAAAATAATACAAAACGCCTATAGCGCTAGTTCTATGCAATGTCATCACCAATCGCTTACTTGCGTCGGTTTTGCTGCATCATCAGGATCTGAACCATGCGGATGAAGATGTTGAGGAAGTCAAGCTCAAGAGAGATACTCTCGTTGACGGGGTCACGGCGGATGACACCAGCCTGGGCGAGACGAGCGTGGTGGAGGACCTTCTGGACATCGTACAGAGTGAATCCACCAAAGACGGCAAGACCACCATACAGCCAGATGCTCTCAGTGAAGGCAAGGGTTCGGATAGCGGTAGCGGGGATAACGAGAGGGGCGAGGCCAGAAGCAGCGACGATGGCGGCACCAGCCAGCAGAGGACCACCGATGTAGAGGTACTTCTCCTGCTTAGCAGTGGCACCGACAACGGCAAGACCACCCATCATGGCGATGGTGTAGAGACCAGCACGTCCAAGAAGAGCGGGAGGAACGAAGGCGAGGAGAGGAGCGACAAAAGCAGCCTGGGTGGCGTTGAAAGCGGTCCAGAGGGCGTACTTGGGGATGTAGCTGGAAATTGTCAGCAAAATGCTTCAACCTTCGCATTGATTGGATTCAACAACTTACTTGTCAGGGCTGATAGATCGAGTTCCAATCATGGTGGCGAAGCTGAGAGCGAGACCACCAATTCCAACAACCCAAGGGTTAGTGACCATGATTCGGTAAACGAAGCCGGTCTGAACCATTTGTCGAGCCGTCAATCCAATGATACCAATTCCGAGACCAGTGTGCAAGAAAGTGTTGTTCAAGTATTCGCGCTCATAAACGGGCATGCCGCCATCCTCACGGGTCTCCCGGTTGAAGACAGCATTGATGGCAACAAGCGTACCACCAAAGATGGCACCTCCAACCAAGAGTCGTCGGCTCGTCGACTGAGGCGCTGTGGCAGCTCCCGCAGCTTGCTGATTGTAAGATCGACCGCCAGCGCGGCTCGTTCGCTGGAAAGCATTGCGGGTGGCTGCGGACGTGACGCGCGATGTGAAGAAGTTGGCCGTGGGCTTGGATTGGACGTGGAAGCTTCGGACGGATGCGGTGTTGCGGAAAGCAGTCTTTGAGAGCTCAGGAAGCCTCTGCGCAAGTCGCGCAGGGCCCTGGCGGACAGTCATTGTGAAGGACATCGTCGTTCTGGCGATGCAGGTGTTGGGAGGAGAGGAGAATGCGATATGCAGTCCTTTACAAAGGAAAAGGTTGAAGCGGGGACGGGGGATCGAGAGTGTTATAAGTCCCCGGTAAAAGAATGGAAAGCATGACGTTGGTTCCGGCTGTGGAGCCTACCTACCTAAAATCCGACATCACGTGGCGGTGCTGGTGGAATATTGTGGAAAGAACCGGCGCCTCTCAGTGACTCAGTTGGTCATCACTCTCGGCGGCTACGGGCTCTAAACTCCAGGCGCCGTCGGATTTACTGGTGTTAGGCTATGGGAATAGTTACATCACAGATACTGTGCCTTGGCGTTAGTTTCTTTCTAGCCTCTTCTATTTTCGGCTGCTTCTTTTCAATTCCAATATTATTATGAAGGATATCAATCAACACCTCCATCAAGGGTATCTACTAAGCATCCTTTCTCCCAGCATTCACCCCGTTACATCATGCTTTCTCTCTACCCCAATGTGCGTTACATCGCACGAGACTTGATATGTAGTAATGGCAAATGCTCCGCGACTTTGACGCCAATGCTGCGCAACGTAGATCCAATGCTTTCCATCCCAACTCAATTCCCAATCATTTCCTCAAAATGTCCCCCAAGACGCCGTCCTTTCTCTATCGTAAACTTCCAAATCCTTTCTCAATGACAAATCGCACGAGTCGTCGTGCTCTCTTGGCTCTGTACCCAAACGCAGATCGTGGCATAAAGTTCTGCGATGTGAGCATAGCAACGCTCATGGCCTTGGGTGCAGGACTATCATCTTCGGATTGTCCCTGTCCAGAGGTTTCGCTTGGCGTGGGTTCTGTAGAACGTTGACCAACGCGGTCATCAAAACCCCAATTCGAAACACCACCGGCTCGGATCCAGGACTCCAAGTTACGGCATTGACTGACATCCATCCAGTTTAGTCGCCCGCACCCGTTGAGGACATTTTCGACGCCTCGGCCAGTGACACGCACGCAGCCACGGACACTGAGGGCCTCCAAATCGTTCAAGTGGAGCGCCACGCTTTCCAAGCTTCCATCGCTAACCGCACTTCCGCAGAATGCCAATCGCAGCTCCCGCAACTTTGGCAGACGGAGAGCGACAACCTCTGTTGCCGTGTCAGAGAGTGCACAGCAGAACGATAGGTCCAGATGTGTCAGGTTCTTGGCTGAGTTGACCAGGGCAACCACCGCGTTGTCCGAGAGATATGTGCAATCAGCTAGGCACAGCCTAGACAGCTTTTCAAACCGGAATGGCGCCCAGGATTGAAACCCTGCATCTGTAATCGACGTGCAACGTGTGAGGGACAACGACTCGATACGGTTCGAAGCATGGGCTGCCAAATGTGCCATAGAACGATCTGTGATGTGCTTGCAATAGGAGAGGTTGAGGCGTTTGAGTTTCGGGCACCCAACTACTGTACCTGGGGGCAGAACATGCTGTGCGGCCTGCTTCTGTTGCTGCTGCTTGTTTCGCGATCGAGCTGCAGAACTTGAGATAACGACTGATTTCGAAGGTGGAGGATCGGGTACAACCCAGCCAACAACGCGGCCTAGAAGATTATCACCGACCTTGCGGCAGTTGCTCCAGTCAACTTCTTCTAATCCCTTTGCGTTCTCGCTCATCTCCAAAATCTGGTTCGCAGAGACATCCCAAACTGATTTCATCTTCCACTTCTTGACATTTTTGCCACAGCTGCGCCATAGAGCTCCGAATCCTTCATCCGTTATATGAAAGCAATTATTCAGGTCAATGGACAGAGCGCGAGTGCCAATGAAGGGGGCGAGCACCTTGATCAGGACTTCGTCAGTAACCTTGCGGTTGTAAATCGAGAGGTCGACATCTTGGCAAACTTTAGGGGATGTAGTCAAGAGCTTACGCCAGTGTGTGCTAACAAGACGTAGTCGAAACAGCTCTCCTATATCCACGTGCTTGAAGATGTAAATTAGGATCTCATCTGAGAGCACTGGTTTGCTCATAGTGATTGGTCGGGTGGGCAGAGTCGTCCGTACTCGCTTTGCCGGGACGTCGTCGTCGTCAGCTGAAGCATCAGAAAACGCAAATTTGATAGGCGTTACTTCTGAGAGGCGAGACCTGGTACCATTGGTCGTTGGAGTAGAGCTGTCTGTTGGAGGCACTGGCGGTGCCAACGAATGTCGTCTTCGATTTCGAATATTCTCCATATTCACGCTCAAGAACGGATCGGGGTCCTTGGGTGCTATGTTGCTTGTATCATCTTTCGCTGGAGACCCAGGTTTGGACGGGGTAGTAAAGGTGAGGTCAGGGAGGGATGCTCTTGTTGGTGTTGTAGGTGTGGGCGGGTCAGATTTGTTGGCCTTTTCCTTGACATCAACATCAACCATAACAACGTCGTCGCTTTGCTTCTGATATCGCAATCGCGCAGTTTCTTTGACCTGTGTCAGAATATCCGAAGGGCAGCGTCTCCAGAACTCGTCGAGGACATCGCCTGTAATCATGATACACTCCACAGAAGTGATAGATCTAACAGTGGCTGTTCGACCTCGCGACAGTCCAAGACTTGCAACTTCGCCAAAATATTGGCCTGCCTTCAATCGAGGTCGTTTTGGGATGGCCTTGGCCTTATTCTGAATGTTATCGTCGTAAACTGGCTCATCATGAATGACCTCCGCCTCGCCACGAACAATGAAGAAAATTTCGTTTCCTGGTAAGCCTTGGCGAACGATATCTGTAAACGGGGTATAAGATTTTGGTTGGACACTCAATCCCAGGAAATGCAGAATATCTGCGGGAAGTGTAGAGAAGAGCGGTAACTCCTTAAGTGTTGTTCGAATATTGATCTGACCGCTTCCAATCGCACTACCAGCAGCTGGGTCCTCCATGATTCCAGGGCTTGGGGACTTTCTTTTCTTGTTGTTGACGACCGCACCGTCCTTGATAACACCCCTTTCTCCAGTAGAGACCTCTCCAGGAGCAGCTTCTCGAGCGCTGAAGTCTCCCTGGGGAGATTTGATCAATCTGCCACTTTCTTGCCGCTTCTTTTTCAGAAGGTTCAAGCGTTCTTGTGCCTCTTCTCGAATCGCCTTCTCCATTTCTGGGAATTTGGGTATCACGGCATGTAAATCTTCCTTCTTCAGCACTAGCAACAGACACTTCGTGCGCGCTACAATGGTAGCTGTTCGAGGCATCTGCATCAAAACGCCAATTTCTCCAAAGAACGACCCGGGATTGAGCTCAGCATAGACCGCCTCACCATCACGCGAAGTGACAGCAACAACTCCTCGAACCAGCCAATACATTGCCTTGGCTTCGTCTCCTTCCGTCACGATATGGTCATTGGGGCTTTGGATTTGAGGCTTCAGGTGATTTCCTATAGCAACAAGAAACTCTTCCGGAGCTGACATAAAGAGGGGGAAGGATCTGATACGGTCAACCAGATCTAGCGGCATGTCTCGGATAAGCGATGCTGTGAGCGGCGAAGGCCGCACTGGCCGCGTTGGATTCGTTTCGACATTGAAAGACCGAATCAATGAAATAGAGTCTGAGGATGTCGCAGCAGCCGAGGCCTGCTGATGATGAGCCAAAGCCCTATAAGGCGATGGCGAGCTTGGGGAACGACCTCGCCTCATGGTTCCAGGTATGGCAAATAGCGGTGTTGCTAGAAGTCAGCGAAATCGCAACGACGAGGACAATTGCCTCCCCTCCAGCAAGCTCTCGAGCCGCCGCCGCAGCTGAGAGTAACAGTTTCGTGACCTTTGATCTTTGTTCCTGGCTTTGTGTCTCCAAGGTTATGACGCGGAAATGTCAAGTATAACTTGGAGAGTGGATCAAGGTACAGTCATGCTCCGGTGTGACGTTGAGAAGCAATCCTTGAGGAGAATAGGATGATCGCTTTCGTGCAATCGTTTTGCCGACTGTGGCTTGAGATATGGACGCACAAAAGGCTTGTGTTGAAGCCCAGGCTCGATCCGTAGGCCCCGTGATAGGTAGAGGGGCGTAAAAGCTGCAGTCACAGACTGAATATCAAGGTAGAAGTCGTACAGGGCTCCAAGGCGGCGGTTTGAATATCTTTTTTTCGTAACACGAGAACAAGGAGCGAGCTGTTGTGCAGGTGATGGCGTAGATGTTGAACGTCAAGAATGATCGCGTGGATAGATCGAAGGTGGCTTTCAAGGAGTGTGAGCGATGACGGATGGCAGACAAAGAATAGAGACTTGTGTTGGGACTTACCAAAGCTTAAGCGGAAGCCAAGAAACGAAGGTTATCTGATTCTCACGGATAGAGGTTAAAGAAGAAGAAAGCTGGTGGGGAGCTGTCAAGAAGCAACAAGGAAGCTATTGTAAGAGTGGCAATTGGCGAAGCTCGAAGTGGAAATCGGTTGAGGTCAAGCCAAAGGAGCATGCACAGTATGTAGGTAGGAGATAGATAGATCCGCATGGGAAAAGATGGATTCCAGTGCCAGTTCTGGCCGCCACATGAACGACGCCCACTCAAGACCACGACCACGACACAGAAGGCCCCTCTTGCATTCGACACGCCCACTCACACGCACAAGGAAAGCTTGGTGTGGGGTAGTTAGGCAAAGTACCTACAGTACAGCACTGTAGGTACTATCCTGACTTAGCTGGGCGGGCGGGCAGTGCCGTCACACACGGTGAAGGAGCGTGTAAGAAGCGAGCAAAAGAACAAGGGCCCCTGTGCAAGTGAAGCTTTGAGTGGAGAAGTATGAGCAAGCCAAAAGCAAGCAAGCAAGCATCGGTAATGCAAGCAATTCGACGGGAAAAGAACGGTTTCGAGAGTCAAACTTTGGTTAATCACCGAACGGCACAGAAATTGACTCTCGCAATGATGCGACTGTTGATAAACTGAGATGCCCTAGGCTGCTCGCGTGGTGGTGCCGGTACCTTGGCACAAGCGCATGTAGCTAAGATAGTCGCAGTACCAGCTACATTAGCAACCTATTGCCCTGTACCTAAAGTTAGTGGCGTCTTGGGGCAGTGGACATCCCATCACAAAGTGAAACGGAGCCAGCCCCGGAGCTGCTGTTGGGAAGAAACCTGAGGGTCAGTGCGTTGAGGCGCTTCGGTGGATGCTTCGATAAAGCTTCAGTGGGATGCGATGTGCTGTTTGCTGCTCGTCATGGACCTTGACCAAACCCTTTCAAGGACCCCGGTAATGGACTTCTCATCCTCACTAGCGAGCGGCACCAAGCGCAGATGACCGAGCGCGCACAGGGCGCTTAACGGTTCACTGGTACCTTTCTTTTGATGTTTGGCAGGGGGTAGAATAATCTGACCAAAAACAACCTGTATGAGAGCTGATGCTGCGGAAGCGACTCCGATAGCTTGCTTCTCCTGATTCCATACAGTAATCCATGCATGGCCAGTACATGCCTAATTAAAAATGTCCCATCAGTTTGACGAAGCCGTGGTTGACGGTGAGCCATGGTCTTTTAGGGTTAGCAGCGGTCGTCTTCTGCCGTCATCATTTCCCCCCCTCTGCTACGTATATGTCGATCCTGATCGTCGGATCCGTGCAGCCAGCCTCCAGCCTACCGGGAAAGGGGTCAGCCATGTTATGCCATCGGTCAGAAGACCATCATTCTAGTGATATATCCGATATGGTTGTCTTTTGCCTCGGCAAGCTGCGAGGAAAGATAGCCGTGGGAGTACTTTTTGAGAAGTTTGATATATGTCGTGATACCATCTTTCCTGTAGAGTACTATCAATCTGATGAGTGGTTTGTCAAGAGCTTCCCTCTTTGCATTGACCTCTTGCCATGCAGATGCTGCGACAGTTAGCGTTGGCTGTGGCTGAAAATAGATACATGGCTTGGTAATTTACAGCTTCATTCGGGCACGTTCGCATCGCCATGCCAATATCAATGCCAGATGCGGCAGCTTGTCGGAGGGAGATCCTTGCAATCTGTAATAGATAGAGAGTTCTGCGGAATCATTTCGTGAAACGTTTCGTCATGGTGTTTCATGTCTGCGGGCTGTGGGCGTCGGTATCCCCATCAGATCAGTCTGCAGAAAGCATGCAGCGATTGTCGTGGGAAAACTGCAGCCTTGTAAGGCGACCTGCATCAATTGCTTCTTCTGTCGTCTGAGGATTGCTGAATCACAAGCAAATAATGTATGTAATTCTTTTCAGCGTTGTTCGTCTGAGACAGGGTCCCTAAAGGTTTTGAGGCCACCCGCAGGGTTCTTAGCCGTGATCTTTCTAGAAGGTAGCACTGACCCAGGGACAGCGGTCAAGCAACGCAATGACCACCTTGCCCTGGTCATGGAAACTCGCTAGAAGAAGGAGAAGAAGGAATGAATTGTTGTAGGCCAGGTCGTATTTTCAGGTCATTAAACCAAATGCAGGTCCTACCTTAAATTTGCGCTGGAAAAAAGCAGCCTCTTGAGATCGTTTATGGCAGACCCTAACCTACCTAAGTAAGTTGATTCCATGGCACTTCTTCTTCAATTTCGATTAACAACACCTGTCCTAACTGTTTAGCAGATGTCTTGGGAACGTGATATGGAAGAGCCACAGTTTTAGGTAACCGGAACACCGAAGATATCCAGTCCGGCTATGGGGAGGAAAGAAAACTCAGGACCTTGATCCCAAGTGACAAAAAGGCTGAGGGAAGTTAGCATAAGCTTAGTATAAATTTAGCCTAAATTTATGATAACTTTGCTAAGTTTATTTTGACACCGTGTATCAAGGTTCGATATTTTCTTGCTCCTGGAGGTCCGGCTGTCTCAGATGCACCCAGCTGCTCCCAATCGGTCAGATTTACTCCAGAGACGATCCCGACAGTTGCAACACTAGCACCTTCTGCCATCATGCACGGAGACGACGAGTTTAGTACAAGTGACATAGACGAGGTCTCAGAGGATGAAGATGAGACGGAAGATTCGGACAGAGCTTCAAGGCACATCTATCTTAGATCAGAGTGCGGTCTTTGCAATCAACCAATGAGCGGAGACGAATGGGCTTTAGCATGTAAGAAGGAGCAGGTTGTCTCTCATATATCGTGCGAACAGAACTGACAATGGCCTGGAGTAATTGGCGATTCTACAGGGGCCAAGGCAGTGAGGTGCACTCGAAAGTTCCAATTCCCCAGAACTCGTCAAACTGTTCACCTTGAAGGAGAACCCGCATTATGCCAACGCTACGAGTGTAGGTGGTCAAGGTCCCCTCCTTCTGTAACAATACACGTCATTTGTTATCGCTTATTTATGAAGGAATATCGACAGGAGAGTGCAATGGAGCGCATATGGGTTGCATCATCTTGGAAGTTCCCATGGCTACATACTCCTGTTCAACTTACGCCTCGGCTCAGTCTCGTTGACACTACCAAGGCGTCAGTGAGGACTTCTATCGCAAGAGCCTTTGGGATACCAGAACTCGCAACTTTGCCGCTAGAGGTTCTGCAAATGGTCAGGTCTTATATCCCCGATAATCTCCTCTGGCGATATTCTCTCATCCAAAACATGGCTCAGGAAATGTCATGGCCCTTCCAAAATCCCTTCGAGCCTCAACGTGATGCTCCTCGCTTCGCTCTGGCAGCAGTGAAAGCTTGGAAACGTGAATTGAAAGGGGTGGATACTGTTTTCGATGAGAATGAATCAGAGTCGTTCATCACCAGACTTACTGTTGACTGTCTTGGCTTGAAGGAGATCCAAAGATTGCAAGATTGGCCAGAGTATAACCACATTCGGTCCAATACTTGCGCCTACGTTTTCTTTACACAAAAGCAAGCTGATAGCTCTTTTATTTCTTCAAAAGTTGGTTCTCTCTTGACTTCATGGGAAATTCTATTAATACGAAACAAGTTTGGCCGGGCATTTATCGAGAATCCTCATGACTCTCGAGACTTCCACTTCTGGGACACGCCTAGCCCTCCCTTGAAATGTTTGAAAATGTTTCCAAGGCCAGATCGTCCAGGCTCCATCAGATACCGCACTGTCGATGTCCTCAATGCCACAGGACTCACCTTCTTCTTTCTGAGAGGTTTCATAATGGCAGTTCACTCCCACACAGCGGACGCACCTGTTGCAGCACCAACTGTACAACATTTCTCTCGATATGAGCAAGGCCATATGATATGGACGTACATCCCTGTATCCAGTACTGATATCCTCCTCCGGATCGGCGTTGGGGATGCCTGGCAAAGACAGATAGAGGCAAGTTCGCGTATCATCTAATCTCTTTACAATATTTCTCACATCAGTAGATATGCACCAAACTCACAGGGACCTACCTCTTCGGTCCTTACCAATGTTATACTGACACCGCCGATGTATCGGGCAATGAGCCATCTGTGCTTGTTCATAACGTACCAACTAAGCGAGGAGGCGGTTCACTCGGCATAGTTACCGAGCATAACTTTGAGAGTGAGCCACTGTTGTCGTTTCTTCGCTACCATAACGATGACAAGGATCCCCTCGGTCTGGGCGGTATCAACACTCTAGCTCCAGCGAAAAATATCACTCGTGCTGATGTCTATTACGATCGCAGGAATGGATATTGTAAGGGATTGCTCCTGAAGTATGCAAACGGTGCGCAGCGGGCAGTAGGGCAATGCCGGATTGGTATTGACCCCTTCAAAGCTTACGAGGAGCCGTCTTGGTTCTGTTACCACGATAGCTATGATTCAGAAGCATTCGACGAAACCGGAGGTTGTGTAGTTGAGTGTACGACTGGCACGAATAACCACGAGCATGAACCATGCGACATTGGCGAGTGGGTGTGTATGCGCGCACGAGCAGGACTGTATCTTGAGTTCCTGTGCAACCATAAGACAGACACTTTTGGCATGTACATTCGACATGGTGAGGAAGAGGACGACGACTAAAAGATATCCATTTCCTTCTCGCTCACGATAAGAAGCATTTGTGATTCCTAACCTGCTGTCCTTAATCATGCTGTGTACATGTAGCATGGCCAGCCACGTCACAGCCTCACTCCATATGCCTTGCTTAACAATGTCTCTCCTGGTGCAATTGCATTGGATGGCATCCTTTTCATGTAATGGCACCCCAAAAGTGGGGTTGCCAACAAACAGCCTACCTACTATGTAAGATCGACCAAAACTCAGCTTCTCAATTATCGTTTTCCTTTCGTAAAACACAACCAAAGCATTGAAAACATCTGTTCCCGGCGGCTGCACTATCAATAACTATTTCTCTTTCGACGGCGCTTGGACTTCGATCCAAGGACTTGACCAGCATAGGTCTGTTCTTCTCTTGGGGGACTCATCACCGCCTTTCATTCTATTATTGAATACAAGGGGCATCTCTCCATCACCGATAAAGCGGCTCATTTGTGATCTGAAATGGATGCATATAGATTCGTCTGGGATGAAGACCCTCCACATTTTGATGAAGCGCATTTACATATCCGATCACAATGCGGCCTCTGTTGTCAGACCATTCACCCAAATGAATGGGCTATAGCACGTGAGTTTGATCAAACCTCCTGGACGATTTCAGTTTTATTGACATATCTGTTCTATCTCTGCAGTGCTAAATAGCCACCGTAAGATGTATGGAGTTCGGCCTGAGTACTGCACAAAGAGATTCCGGTTCCCTCGGACACCAGGAGCCATCACGCATACTGACTGGTACCCCTTATGTAACAGCGTGGGATGTCGAGACTGCATGTGGTCTCCTGAGTCTGTGACATTGCATGCAGATTGTCACTGTTTGTTCTTGCAGACATACCCCAAGAAGCCAGTATTGGAACGACTCTGGGTTGCAGCAGTCTGGAGGACTCCGTGGATTATGTCTTCTTTAAAACCAAAGATACAACTTGATGTTGTCGACAACGAACTGGTATCAATCAGTCTTCCCACCGCAGAAATCTTGGGCTTACCGCAGCTCACCGCTTTACCATCCGAGGTACTCCAGCTCATTAAAGCTTATTCACGTGGCAGTGTTATCTGGTCCTACCCGGCTATCAAAGCCAGAGCAGAGGAAATGGCAATGTTTGATGAGAGAATGTCTGAAAGTGACGATATGCAATACGAACTCAGTATTGTGAAAAAATGGCATCGAGGGCAAGATGCAGAACTCGATGAGAAGCCACCCCAGTCTGTTGTGTTCCGGTTCACCCTCGATTCCCATGGGCTACTCGACATAGAGAGACTACCTAACTGGCCCGAGTACGAAAGTTGTCGATACCGAACTCACAAATATTTCCTTCTTGGTTTCGCTGAAGCGCAGCGTACTTGGGTATATTTCAAAGTAAGTCCTAAATCTTGCATCACTTCCTGTCTTGTAGCGCCACTAACAACGGGGACACAGTTTGGACATGCGCGGATCATACCAAGTCCCTCATGGCCAAGACCTCTTCAGTTTTGGGACATACCAAGTCCGCCCACGAAAGGGCTTGAGTTTCTCCTCAGGCCGCGTCGTACAGATGCTACTTGCAATCGCACTCTCGATCTACGCAACATTACGGGCATTACGTTCTTTTACTACCGGGGCGCTTTGATGGGACTCCATTCTCACGCCCTCGGAGCCGTGACAGCGTTTCCTACTGTTAAGGACACTCTTTCAAAGTATGAGCCCTATTTAGTCTGGATATACATTCCTGTACCACACGGCGACCGTATTATGAGGTTCGGCCTGCGGACCTGGAGAAACGAGCACGAGGAACCGGCAACGCATCACACATCTTTATTGGTTAGTTCCGGTTTATGGCGTGGCTTCTTGTTACTAACCGGGTGCCTAGATGACCACGAAGCTTGGTGGTGACTTCTCTCTCGGCCCAAGTTTCGATATGGAAGATCAGAATTTCTTGTTTCAGGGAACGCCCACTGTTCTTGTTCACAATACGCCAATAAAAGGTGGGATTACACTGCTGGGCTTAGCAGGTGATGAACCTCAGGAGAGCTTGCCCGCCGCTAGATTTCCTATCATTTCCATCTCGTCTGATCAGTTGGCTTATGGAGGTAATGCTATTACGGTGGACATTTCACTGAAAGGCGCTGTGCGAATTGACATTTTCAGACATAGTTACACTGGACACCTGAGAGGCTTTCTTCTTGAGTATGAGAACGGCTCACAGAGGACTGCAGGGCAATGCCGAGTAGGGGTTGACCCGGTCACGGTTTGTCACAAACCTGTGTCATTCTGCTACCGCAAAATCCCTTGGGGAGAGCTTGATGAGCACCAAAACTATGAGCTTGTATGTTGTTCGGAGACAGGTGACCAACATTCTGGTCATAGATCTCCTCACGGGCCTTGGACTTGTTCAGATTTCGGAGTGTACGCTAAGGTTTGGTGCAACGATGCATCAACCGAACTGTATACATACACTCCAAACTCTCAGGAGTTTATAACGATAGATGATTCAACCTAAGACCGGTGGATTCCTTTAGCTATTACCAGGATCAATGAACTCTTTATCTTTTAATTCTTATCTTTGACCATAGTATCTCAGAGGCAATACTGCTCTTGAATAGAAATGTGAAAAATCGTCACATGGTACACCAGCCAAATATCATGTAGCTCAGGAATAATTCGGCCTACCAGGCGTAGGAGCTGTCAACTATCTAGCCTCATTGCTGGAAGTATTTAATCCGCAGCTGGCCAAGATGACTCGCAGTTCCACGCTTGACAAAGTCGAGTCTGAGACTAGAGGAGATGGGACATTTCAGAGCGTGTGCTGAGGTTTTGGCGTACTATGTAATGACCGAACTGTGTATATCCATTCTATAGTCTGAATAGTAGGGCCACGGTCACGAACTTATACGAGTTTACATACTCCGTACGGAGTATAGGAACGGTTATAGTCTGGTGGTATAGCCGGTTCAATAAGACAGGGTAAGGATTGAACACAGAACACAGCAGCCGAAAGTCCATATTACTACCACAAGATTAAGGCGCTTCTCGTCTTTGAACTAAATATCCAAAAAGCAATTCTCTATTCAATTAAATTGTGAGATGTGACATCCATGGATATAGTACGGCCACACCTCAGGAGGTTGACAGAACCCCTGTAATTTATTGACATTAATTACACGCCACGTTCTATTGTTATTGTTTACTGTCTAACCTTTTTCTTCATCTTCAGCCCCTTTCTAAGCATACAAATTTCATATTTGCTACGAAATATAACAATCCCTCTTCTTGTCCCTACCTTTCTTTGTGATAGATTCTTGAATCTCATAACAGTCGCGACATGTCTGATCACGGCTTACCAGATGCACCTCAGTCACCGCGTGATTTGAGCTATGACCCTGATAGATATGGGTGGGAGGAGATAATCGAAAACGGTCGGAATGACCCAGACAGGCACATCTGCCTACAGGACCAATGCGACCTTTGTCTTGTCGATATAGCACCAGATGATTTGGCCATTGCCGGTATGTGTCGTGAGAGATATGGGCTGCTATTGCTATGCTGATACAATCAACCACCTTATAGTAACATGCGAAACACATCTTCGCCCTTCATACTGCACCAAGTTATTCAGATTTCCCGCCGCCAAGGAGGAGTTTCAACCTGATGGAGAGGCGTGGATTCTATGCCGGGACGCTAAATGCAATCAGTCAACTGAAGCTGTGACGATGCATGCTTCCTGTTACCAACTCTTCTTTCAGCATTACACCCATGATAACCCCCTCAACGGTGTATGGGTTGCCACCGCATGGAGACATTACTTCAATCCACGACTTGGCTTCAAGTTGCAAGACAACAGCCTCGTATCAGTGAGCCCCTCGATTGCCGAGTCGTTGGGAATACCGCAGCTGGCTCAACTGCCCCCAAGCCTTGTCCAAGATATCAGGTCCATGTCTCCTGATAGTCAAGTTTGGGCTTACTTGGCTATCAAGGATCGTGCAGAGGGGATTTCATCTGCAGCTGGACGAGATGACCTGTCTTGTATGCTTGACAAAGTCGAGTCTTGGACTAGGGGCGGGGGTGCACCTGTGATGAGCGACAGCTTTGCTGGGGATTGGAGTTTTCGGGTCACGATAGATCGCCGCGGTATACGCAACATTGAAAGAATCGATGGTATCTCTTCCTACGCAGGTTGGCGGAGTGAAAGCCTTGCCTTCGCTCTGATACCCCCAGATCAAGCAATGAGAAGTTGTGTTGATTTCAGGGTTTGTGGCACAACCTCTTGTCATGGTTATTCAAAATGCTAACCGTTTATTTAGCTTGGAGCAGCTCGTCTTGATCTGTGGGGTGGCAGGTCAGTCCTGTGGGATACACCGAGTCCTCCTTCAGGGGGTAAAGTGTCATGGTTCACCGCGTCTGGTCCATCGCAATTAAGCAATGTGCGTCTGCGCACACTGGACTTGCGCAGCACCAGGGGTCTCACCTACCTCTACGTTGGGTCTTCTCTACGGGCTATTCATTCTCATACGTCTCGCTTCCCAACTGCGTTGACGACATATGCGCGTTTGCCCGAACACGATCGACAGCATGTGGTTTGGGCTCATGTCCCTATCTCACCTAGCGATCGAGTTATCGGATTAGGCATACGAACAAGTGGCACGAAAGGTGGATTCGCCTCACCCTCTGTTCTAGTAAGTCTCATCTTCGCGAGGTGTAGATCATAATAGCTGATCAAACAAGATTCGTACTGAGCTTGCTGGTGATATTGTCATCGGCCCTCAGCCCAAGCCTGTTCACCACGACTTGCCTCTCGTCCTCATTAAGGATTACAGCTGCGATATTATACCGGAGTTTTTCACATATGGTTTACCTGATATTGACGGTGAATATATGCTTCTCGCGGTGGCAGGAGGGTCATCTGAACCTAACGCAGAGTCCACACGTCGATTCCCTCCCAAAACATTATCAACGATAACCCACAGCTGCAGTTGTACTCTCCTCCAAACCCGGGTACCTCTCCAGGGGACCACCCGAATTGATGTATTCACTTGCAAAGCCACGGGTTATTGCAGAGGGATGATATTTGGGTACGACGACGGGGCTCAGAGGGCTGTTGGTCAATGCCGCATCGGAATTGACAATGTAACCACCTACATCAATCCCACGAGGATTTGTTACAGCGATACGATGCGGGCCCATTGCTGTGACGGTGATGATGATTGTTCCAACGAAGAACATGACTCGGGGGAGGAGATGGGATGCACAGCGCATCAAGGTTCCAGGGTTGAATGCTACAGCGGCACAGATGGCCATCATCACAACGACTGTGATGAGCATGTGGTCTGCGTACCCATTGAAGGGTACCTCGATTGCCACTGGGATGACCGATGGACTCGACTGGACATACAAGAACATGCCCCTGAAGCCGTTGCGGCAATAATGCAAGTGGATATGAACGGCAGAAATCCCCGCGTATTCACGGTATAATGCATTACAGCACATTCACAACCTCGGCAATACAGCTTCAAGCATATCAGCTCAGTTGCACTCTTCAGCCCATTTCTATATTGCATGTCCCATGCACATAATTCCAGTCTACATCGTTTCGTTCAAATTCGCTAAATCTGTGACCCAAACAACAACATCCGTCTTTTACAGAACTAAACATCACATTTTATGAACCCAACGCCGAATGTTACACGACCCAGATATGCATGCCTTCTCGCCAACTCGCTCTAAGTTCGCAGGAATGTCTTGAACACTTGCGAGTTGGTGCAGTCTTCATAGGGGTATCCGATCTTGCGCAAAAATGACTCCAGCTCAGGGACCTCGTCGTCAGGACACAAGATGCCAGTAACAATCTTGCCCACATCACCGCCGTAATTACGGTACTGGAACAGGCTGATGTTGAACTTGGGTCGAAGTGTCACGAGGAACTTCTCGAGAGCTCCAGGTCTCTCGGGGAATGTGAACATGTATAGTCGCTCGTTGGGAACACCGGATCGACCGCCGACGAGGTATCGAATGTGACTCTTTGCGAGTTCGTCTTGTGATAGATCGGTCACGTTCATGTTGTTGGATTGGATACGGTCCATAAGAGAGCGGAGTTCCTCCGATCGCTGGTGGGCGGGAGCGGTCAGAGATACACCGATGAGGATGTTGGCGACTTCGTCTGTCGAGTATCGGTAGGTGAACTCGGTAACGGCATGGGGCATGATATTGTTGATGAGCTCGGAGAATGCTCCAGGCTGTTCGGGAATCTGCACGGCAAGCAAAGCCTCCTTACCCTCACCCATGGTAGCACGCTCAGCGACGAATCTCAGACGGTCAAAGTTCATGTTGGCGCCTGATGTCACAGCAATGAGGTTGCGCTTCGAGTCGTTTGAGGGGTTCTGGGAGACGTATTTCTTGAGACCGGCGATGGAGAGTGCTCCAGCGGGCTCGAGACCGGATCGAGTGTCGTCATACATGTCCTTGATGGCGGCGCAGATCTCGTCGGTCGTCACTTCAACAACGTCGTCGATAACCTCCTTGCAGATGCGGAATGTCTCTTCTCCAGGGATCTTGACGGCAGCACCATCGGCGAACAGACCGACCTCCTCGAGCAATACCCGCTCTCCTGCCTTCAACGACTGCGCCATGGCGTTGGCGTCATGGGCCTCAACACCAATGATCTTGACGTGAGGAGCCATGCGCTTGACATACAGACCAATTCCGGCAATGAGACCACCACCGCCGACACCGCAAAAGATAGCCTCCACCTTGGCCATGTTGACCTGGCCAAACAATTCGTTTCCGATGGTTCCTTGACCAGCGATAACATACGGATCGTCAAAGGGTGGGATGTTGATAAGACCATCTTGCACCTCTCTTCTCGCGCACTCCTCCTTGGCCGCGTCGAAATCAGCGCCATGCAACACAACGTGGCCGCCCAAACGAGCAACGTTCAAGTGCTTGATACTAGGGGTCGCTTCGGGCATGACAATAGTCGCAGGGATCTTGAGCTTGCGTGCCGAAAAGGCGACACCCTGTGCGTGGTTACCGGCAGAACAGCACACAACACCCTTCCAGCTCTTCTTTGGGTCGAGATGGGCCATTTTGTTGTAGGCGCCGCGCAGCTTGAAGCTGAAGACGGGTTGCTCGTCTTCACGCTTGAGGAGGACATTGCATTCGAGTCGGTTGCTGAGGTTGATAGCGTGTGTGAGGGGAGTGACCTTGCAGGCCTCGTAGACTCGCGATGTGGCGCTGGCGATAAGACGAAGGTACTGAGACTGTCAGCTTCGCAATTGGTATTAGTTGAGGGAGTATTATACTCACATCTGGGTATCCTGTAGGAAGAAGATACTCGTCAGGCACAATCTCCTTAATGCGCGCCCGCTTCTCCTCCGACGGTGTAGACGGGTTGGCGCTGTACTCTGTCAACGCCATTCCGGTCATCGGCGTATGCGGCCGAGAGTGAGAGTCGCCATTTGTGCCATTGGTAGTGCCATTCACGGCGCCGTTCACGGGCACCGCAACAATGGGATCGTGAGCTGAAGGCATCGTGAGGGCATGTGTGAAGAGATTATGTGAAAAAGGGAAACAAAGGTTGGAGTGAGGAAAAGGTAAATACTATTTAGTCCTTCTTTCTCTAGTCACCGCCGAACGACCGGACCTGAATTTTTGTTGGACACCAGCTGTGAGTCAATTGGCACCGGGGTGACGTAGAATTGTGGGGTGACCACAGCGAGATAAGAAGTATACAGCGGGTGCGGATGTTGCTTGGGCGGACTCACCGAGTCCGTTGAAGGCCGATCTAACGCCGATTGTCGTGCCATGTTGTACAGTGAAATTGCTCAGAGTTGAGCAGGTAAAAAGAATAATGGCCTGACTTGTTGAGATTAGAGACATCAGATAGAAGAGTCACCTTTCAAGACCCTGAAATACTGCGTACAATTTAGTGAATGTTTATCCCCAATGGAGGGGCTAGAATACAGCCCGTGGGGTTCGACATCGGAGGTTGTACCTGTTCCACCACCAACCACAGCTCTTGTATTAGTGAAAGGCGTTTGGACAATGCGGTGGTCTTGTACTGTGAAACTCATTTATTTGGTTATCGTATTCTCAAATTCGGATATCGCTCTAATCAAATATTCATGTTCCAAGCCCAACTCCTAAAAGCATTATTCCCTCCCATAATTTTTACTTCCTCACTGCATCGTCGTATGCAGGCGGCGCATCCTTTTCAGCATGTTGTTGGTTCATGGGACCCAACTCGTAGCCACCATTATTAGGCTCCTCGTGAAAGTCCCTTGTTTCGTAAACATTCTGACTTGAGCTGCTGCCAATCATGCCAACCCTTTGTGCTCCTGACTGGACCATGGCAACACCCGCTTGTCGTCTCTCTTGTCGTCGGTAATCCCTCTCTGCTCGTTGTTCGGCTCGGAGTTGCATACGCTCAGCACGCTGCATCTTTTTCTGATATCGACGCTCCGCCTTGCGTTGGTAGCATGACGATCGACCAGTGTTCATGGCCATGTAATCAGGGTTGGGACCCATGAGTTGAGGTTGTTGGACGAGATAGGCTTGTTGCTGTTGACCTCCGTAGCAGCCATTTGAGCGAGGCTGTTTTGAGGTGTCTGTAGCGCTCATAATAGCGCTGATTGTAAGACCGATGAGACCCATGATGAGTGTAATTGGGTTGTTTCGTTTGTTTGTAGAGGATGTGATGTAGGGTAGTTGTTTTGAATGTATTAGATGTCTGTTTGATGATGAGAATATTCTTTCTCCTACGACGAACCATGGCTTCTTATAGCTTTCAAGATATTGCTCCCTCTCAATCGAAGCCATTCCCTAATTGTAGGTTTCATTCGACAATTCCACGGCGCAGCTTCTAATGCGAATGCGCAGCCACGCTGACGTACTAACATATCGAATGAATCTCCAAACAGGGCTTAGCGTCACTTTGGTGATGGTTGTCACAACCAACCTAGCGTCGCCTATCTCCTATGTGATATTCGCACTCGCTTTTGGGAAGCCGATTTGCCGTTTTCCTCAATCGGAATGCGACCATGTTAGCTTCATGTTTTTATCATTTGTTCATGTATCGTAACATAGGATGATCTTGATGGACGACATCTTGGATCGGCGAAGGGCACTAATCACTCATCGAGACGTCCTTCGAAGGTTACGAACGCAAATACGTTCAGATCGTCATCATTCTATCGCAGTCTATGCAGTCTACTCTATAAACGCATTTTATCAGTCATAAACATGAAATCGTCATCGTTCAAATGATCGGGAAAGCTCCCAATATGCTCTAAGCAGCGCAATTCCTCCAACTTGTGTCTCGACAGTCCGGCCACGGCCCCGTTCATTCGGGTCCTGTCCCTTCATCTTCACCTCTCGAGGTGAATGTCCTCTGCCCCGAGGTACAAGGTCTCCCCCAACACTGTCCATAACATGTTGATCAGACTTGGGCCCTGATGGTGACCAGTGTCCTGTACCTGGAGTCCATCGGTGAAGTCCACCCCAGGTCTCGTCATCAGGCGTTCCTTGGTTGCGGTAGTCAGTTGCGTTCTCTGCGGCGTGGTCGATACCGTCGGTATCCAGTGTTGGGAGAGCACCGTAGATGCTAGCTCCCCACCACATGCCAAAGAGGCCATCGTCGTTGCGAGTCTTCAGAGCTGCATGGGCGTTGTGCTTGACCCAGCCCAAGTATGACTGGCATGCATCTGCGTGAATGCCTTTCACACGTCGGTATCCACGGGGATCGATTGTTCTGTCCTGCTTGGCGACTAGAGGTTCAAGAGGGCTGCAGAATGCTGTGAAGTGATGGAAGAATATGCCCTTGAAAGTCTGGCCGTCCTGGGAGCAGGTGCTACTAGCATCGCACTGCTCTTCCAGGATGCCTCCTCGGCCAAGCCCATACCACGGAGGTAACTGACCAGGGCCCAAGTGTTTCAGGACATCGACGGGCTTATTCTCTTTCAGATTCCATCCTGTAGCTCTGATGACGGACTGGATCAGACGATGCCCGTCTTCCAGATACGAAGCGCTTCCACTGACAGACCAGAGACCTCGTTGGCCTGTGAGCAAGACACCTTGGTTGTACGTGTACACCATCTCGTCTCGAAGATCGCACTTCGTGTTACCGGGCTTGGTGCTATCGATGTGATATCCATCCACAAATAGACCCAGGGAGTTGGTCATGTTGACATCGATGAGCCACTTGTACCCTCGCATAGCGGCCTCCAGGTGTGCAGGGTCGTTACCCGGGAATGCAGCACTGTTCAGCCATGGTGCAGTGAAGTTGTCGCCAGGAAAGTGCTCGTACATGGAAATCGAGGCAGCCACCCAGAGTTCATTCGTAATGGCGTTTTTGTACGGATTCAAGCGAGGGTTCCAGACCATGCCTCCATTACAGAACTTGGTCTCCCATCCGTGAGTTGCCAGGTTCCAGAAGATGCGAGAGCGGTGCGCAAAGGATGAGAACCAGTTGTAGCCCTGCCATGGCATAGATTCGATGACTTCCCTCAGATTACTTCTCTCAGAAACCCCCTCGGATTTTATCTTGGGGTAGTGAAGATCAGCGTGAGTTCTCACGAATTTGATGGCCTCGATCCAGCCAAGAGCGACCCATAATATGTCGTCGTAAGCCTGCGTCAAATGTCAATAAGACAGAAGCTCCGTTCCTCATAGGAGTCGACTTACCTGGCCTCTGATTGACAGCACATCTTGTCCAAAGTACGAACCCACAAGCTGTGCATAGAAAGTTGCGATGATGTTCTCTTTCACCCTCCAATCGTCAATACCAGCAAGATCGACCGAATCGATAGCCTTGGACAAAGTGGTGAGCATTCCAGCCACGACTGTTCCTGCAACAGCAGCAGTCCAGTCTATAGCAGATGGCCATGTTGCGTAATCCGGTTCAAAGAAGTGGTCTTGAAGAGACGAAAGAGCACTGAGGGCGTCCTCGAGAATCTGAGTGTCTGCTGGTTTGGTATCAGAGGGCTTCGAAGAGAAAGTCAAAAATGTTTCAGGAAGAGGACGGCAGTTTGTTGGCGGCTCGCTATAGAGAACGGGGCAGTAGTCTTTGTGAGCGCTCTCACGGCTGGGTGCAGCTGATATGGGCTGGATGATGGTGAGCAAGCTGGCGATACCAGCGATGATTTTGAGCCAGGCCATGGCAGCTACAATAGGTGTTGCAAGCACCTAGAAGCAAGATTTTGAGTTTGTTTTCGGCGGTAGATGTGAAAAAATAATCCTCTGATGAAGCCTCGTAATGCTCATGAAATAGAGTTGCCCATCTCATAAATTGTGGCTAAGCGATCTCGGAGTATATCAAGGAATGAGATAAGCTAGGTAGGTAAGTATGTTCAGAAAGGCCAATCCAATCTCCCGAGGAGAAGGAAGAACCGGTTGAAATATGTGTAGGGAGAAAACAAAGAAGGAAAAAGAAGAAAAAAAGACGCAGGGACTCGAGGCGATGTCAAGTCAAGATCAAAATTATCTCTACATATCAGACAGAGACTGACACTGACACTGATACTAACAGTGCAACACAACGGACGATCTGCCCCACCACGAAACAAATCGAGCAGGTCACAAGATTCTAGAACGATTTTGAATGACTAGAGGCTGAAGAGACGGTGAGAAAGAAAAGATTGAGGCTAGTTGACAGGATATCACTCACATCTTGGCCCTGAGTTTGCTTGGCTTTGATCAGGATCAGTCAAGTCCTTGTTGGATGAATGAGTGTGTATCACTTCTATGATGCAAGATAAGAGTTTGATGCGCAATTAATTACTGCCACAAGATAATACTACTACAGTCAGTTGATATTCTCATCAACCTGAGATGCAGTATTCAGTCTCAAATGCCTAGATAGGTAGTCATGCCTCAGTAAGATCCAGTTGGTTTTAAAACTTTACAACACATATCAAACTCTAGGTTAACCTCATGCAAGAAAACGTCCTGTAACCTAAAACTTGACGCGCTGTGCACCTGCAGCATCGTTAACCCAAAACGGCCCCGCGATGGAAGACAGGGCTTTCGTTCGACAGTTGGGTTCATCCAATCACACCGCGCGCTGAAGGCCTTAGCGGCTCTAACAGCGTGAATCCCAACCTCGAGTGGCTGGTATCAGTTGCGGGAGTGGGTCTCTGAGAGCTTTGTTTACTTTCGCCCAAAAACAGTCAAGACCCCGGCGTCTTGTTTCCCGTCTCTAAACACAGACAGCTTCACAGGTACTTCTACTTCAGCAGGCCTCTCTTTCTCTCCACCAAAACATTGTCACTTTTCTATCCCTACATCTTCATATTGGGCATCTTCTCTTCTCCCACGTCGCGTTCTGCCTAACAGATGTATCCCCAATACCAGTCGACATAGCATTGACTTCTTCCCAAACCCCTGACCAAACGAACACGCCGTTTTTTCCATAACTATACGCGCCACGGATGCTATAGCATCCTCGCCTAACATCGTCTAATTTCCAAGCTCTTCACCAAATACAAATACACGCCCACAGCGCGTGAGAAGGAGCTATGGAGGTCGACGCCGCAAGCAGATATCGATCCCGCATCCTTAGAGAAATGAAAGCAAACCGCGACAACCCTTTCAACTCACCACCCTCATCAACTGGCTCACACGGCACCGTCAGCCCTACGCTATCTTCAGTCTTCTCCGACCCCGACGGCGAGTCCACAAGAAGACTTAACGAGGATATTGCCCGCGTCACTGCGCCTCGCAACCTGCCCGTCAACTGGGAGGCTGCCCATCGCAAGTGGCCCGAGTTCTTTGGCATGCCCAAGGCCCGCGAGGTGCCTGTCTACGACGATAACACTGACACTCGGCCTATGAGTGCTGAGTCCAAGGAGAACAAGCCCCCTGCCCCTGGAATCAAGTTCGCCATTGACGACATCACACAAGACACCTGGCAAGGTTCCGCTAGAACGCGTGCTGAGATGCAGCCTCGCGTCGATAATGAGTCCGACCTGTCTTCAATCCTCTCCAAGTCTCCTAACCGAGCCCTTTCTTACCACTCTTGGAACAAGAACGCACATAACCCTAGCCCATTATCCAAGGTCCACAACCGAACCTCATCCGAATCAATGGCCGCACAAAAACAACTGCGACGAGAGACGATCTCCGAGGCATTTGACCGCCTACGCAGCAGTGCAAAGAGCCCCGAGCCTCGAGATCAGAATCAGCAAAACAAGTCTTCACCACAAATGTCTTCAGCTAAGTCCAGCTTAACCGCTGTTCCTCCTTCGCCCGCCTCTATTGCGAGCCCTGCACACAACGAAAGCAACGCTCGCTCTTTCTTTATGCCCGATATCTCACATCTCGGTGACTTTGTCGATGGCACTCTTCGATTCAGTGGCTCCATGCGGAATGGTGTTCCCATTTTTGTCAAGAATGGCAGAGTTCATGACCGTTATGAGAAGCCATCGCTTTCGGCTCATGCCGAAGTTGATGAAGTTGAGGTGCCGGAAGATGAAGAGAAGATATTTGTTTCGATGGATATGATCCGCGAAGAAATCATCTCTCTCCAAGAGCACTATGACAAGGTTCAAGAGTATGCTGAGAACCTGCAACAACAGGTTGAGCAATTGGAGGCTCAACTCAAGTCACGAAAGTCGTATGACGATGACTACGATTCTACTCGGGCTAATGAGAAACTCATGGCTCAAAAGAACCGTAAGTCCCTGATCATTGTATTCTAAGCGCGCTACTGACTCATTTTAGGTCTGGAAGTTGAGGTTTCCACTCTCCAATCTGGCTTGGAGCAAGCCTCGCGCAAGATCAGCTTGAATGAGATTGAAAACGACTCTTTGGCTCAAGAACGAGACCGCGCAGTGAGGAAGCTGCAAGAGGCTTGTGAGGATATCAACAAGCTCACTCGCAAGCTTAGCACGAAACAGAAGGAACTGGAGACAACACACAAGCAGCTCGAGTCGACAGAGCAAATTCGTAATGAGAATGACACTCTCCGACGAGATCTGATGTCTCTGAAACACGGCCGTGACTCGTTGGACCTTGAGAACAAGTCCCTCTCTGCTGCCAATGATACTCTACGAAAGGAGCATGAGACTATGAAGGAGGAGATTGAGTCTCTGCGATCCGACAACAATACCGTCAGACGTGAAAACCAGTCCTTGATTGGCGAGAACCGTTCACTGCGAACTACAAACAAGACTCTCACGGATGAGAACGAGGAGCTCCGCGAAAACCTTGACGGACTTCAGCATGAGCTTGACGCAGCGAGGGAAGAGGTTGAAGCTCTTCAACAAGAACTCCAGAACGTGTCTCAGGAGAAGTCTACGCTTGGCGAGGATAACGCGAGTCTGGTGCGACACAACGAAAAGTACTTTGAAGAGAACAAGGTTCTTCGACGCGAGAATTCGGGCTTTGAGCGAAGCATTCATGATCTTCACGACGAGAACGTGAAACTCAAAGATGAGGTTGACTTCCTCAAGCAGCAGTTGGAGTCTTTCCGCCCAGTTCCCAAGGAGGACTTTTCTGCGCGTCTCGATGATGAGACAGAGGAGAACATGACCTCAGCCTTCTTCATTCCTGATATCACCATCAACAGCAACACTGGCGACGTTGATACTGCCGAGAACGCCCAAGCTACTGAGACCAAGGAGATTACTGAGCCAATCGAGGATAGCGGCAGATTGCCAACAATCCCTGATCTCACCGAAGAGGAGACTCGTACACATACTAAGCGTGACATCACGTCCCAAAGCGAGACCAGGCATTCTCAGAGCAAGAGCAAGACCTCCAAATCTGGCAATCAACAGAAGGTTGCTTTCTCAATCCCTGGCAAGTCTTCTAAGAAGAGCAGCTCCAATGTCGCAAACCAGGGCAGCAAGCGCCGAACCACTTCCGACTCCAAGAGACGCTCCTCTATGAAGGGCATTGCAACATATGACATGGACACCTTGGAGGACAACGATGAGACTACTGGTCTACAATCAGTTGAGAATGCTACACAGGACAACTCGACCCAGCTGAGCGTCGTGCCCAAGACACGTAAGGAGGCCAAAGGCACCGGACAGAAGCAGTCGAACACTCAGAATACTACAGTCCAGAGTGAGAGGTCACAACACAGTCGATCTCACTCCCGATCTTTACGCAAGCAGATCACGACCGACATCACCTCTGCTAGTATCAAGAGCGTTGACAAGGATACGTGCCCCGTCCTCTCCAGCGATGCCAAGAGAGTTCTTGATGACCTTTGCGAGCATGAATGCCGTAACTGCACTGTCTGTAGCCGAATCACATCCCACCGTAACATCTTCACTTCCGCCGATATTGCCGCCGGCAAGAAGCGTGTTACTGTTCCCCGACCAGTCCCTGTCACTGATCGTGATTTGTCAGTAGAGGACCCTACCATGCGGCCTACTCAGCACCCAGGACATGCTCTTGCTGTGGTTATCAAGGGCTTGGAGGATGAGTCTCATCATCTCCAGCTTGAGCTCACCCGCATTCAGGCGCAGTACAATGGTCGCGATAAAGCCTTGGGTCGCCGCGAGCGTCTCAACCTTGCTGAGACCATTCGCACACTTCTCAAGCGGCTTGAGGCTAAGAACGATCAGATCTACAGCCTCTACGATGTCCTTGAGGGTCAGAAGGCCGCCGGCCAGGCTATGTCAGAGGAGGAGATTGAAATGACTGTTCTAAACATCACAGGCATGACCGTCCGCGATGTCACTAGTAACAGTGAGCTCACCTGGGAGGGTGTTCCTGAGTTATAAACAATTGTTGGCATGATATGAAGCGTTTTGACGTTGCAGAATTTGAGATCAATCATGGAAAAAGGCGTTTTTGGCCACACAAAGGACTTTGGGATCAGGGGTATCGACCATCGCGGGTTAGATGGCATTGCTCGAGGAGTTTGGAATTATCAGGGCCTTCCGATCAGTGTATTGTGTTTTTTGTACAAATACGTATGACTCGCTAGTTTTTGGCGAGAATGACTATCAAAGCATTTTTGAGTTGAATCGCGTATATCCCATTGCACAGTCAAGTCTTTGATAAATCTTTTCACAGTCATAGTGAAGTTGAACAGAAAAGGTAGGTATCCTTGATTCAGGTCTTTAACAAGTAAGAAATTACATCCGTTTTTGCACACCATCCCAGAAAAAAAATAAGTACCTATATCTACTCTTCATCATCCTCTTCGTCGTCGCTACCAGCATCACCGTTCTCACCGTCCATCTCCTCGTCTTCATCTTCATCCTCATCACCTTCACTGTCATCCTCCACTTGATCTTCCAGATCAGCCTTCTCGTCCTGTCGTCTCTTGCGATCGTCCTCTCTCCTGGCCTCTTCAAGCAACTTGACACGCTCAGCACGAGTCTTTCTCTGTCCCACGACATAGGCACCAAGAGGGGTCTTGCCGAGGTCAAAGTCACGCAAGAAAGCCTCAACCTGAGTGCGGTCCCTTGGGGCGAAGTCGACCTTTGCACGCTTCTCCTCAATGAACTTGCCGTTGGCCTCAAGCTTCTGCACCAGGAGAATGATTTGGCTCGCGAGCTTGACGTTCTTGTTGCCCGTGTTCTTATTGCGGGCCTGCTTGAGCCAGCGCTTGAGCTGGATGACGACGGGGAGAGCGAGCTCGGGGAAGGCGATGCTTGTGGCCCACAGGAAGAAGTACTCTCCAAGAAGCTCAACGAGTTGCTCACCGACGCCGTCTTGGAAGACACGGGTTCGGAGGTATGACTTGGGAGCCTTGTAAGATGTGGCGAAATCGAAGGGCTTGAGGGAGGCGGCCTTGGGGGCCTTCTTCATCTCAGCGGAAGTAAGGACCTCGAGAAGGGGAGAGGCGAGAGGGATATAAGTTCCAGTGGCGCGGGAGAGTCGGAGCAGGGAGCGGATTAGGTGGAAGCGGAAGGGGAAGTAGATGGCGGTAGGGATGAGGCGCATGGCTCCGAGTGTGACTTGGACAAGGGGATAGATAAGAAGCTTCAGTTGGCTCTCCTTTCCAGCCTCTGCCTCCTTCAGGGGACTGCAGTGCTCGGCGAGAACGCAGGACCAGAAGTCGAGGGAGTGTGTGTACTGCCAGTTGTAGACGATTCGGAATGCATCATTCTTGTTGTGAACAATACTGTTTCGCAGGTGAATAGCGAGTTGTCGGATGAAGGAGAAAGCAGTTGTGTAGCCAACAGACTGGTCGATACCCCAGAGTTCAGCAGCAGAGTTCTTCATGAGGTTAATGCCCTGAAGAGTGTTGGCATTTGTGACACGGCAGCCCTGGATAAGACCTTGGTAAACGGCCTTGAGAACTGTCTCTCGAATACCCTTGTCACCAATAACAACCAGACGTCGCAGGACGAGGAATGCTGTGAGCTTTGTCGTCTCAGAACTGGCAGGCTGAGCCCAGAAGTTGACGACGGATTTGGCGAGGGCCTTGACGAGCTTCTTGAAGGAGAGGAGGTAAGGGAGAATGGGGGTGATGGATGAGAGGGTGAGCTTGAGGGTCTTGTCGTCGGAGAGAGTGCTCAAGAGGTGCATGATAGACGAGGTGTATGTCTTGAGCAGCAGAGACAATGTGTGGAACTTTCTTGACTCGGTTTGGACGTGGACCTTGCCAGAGGCTGACTCCTTGACGGGGAGATGGTGGTTCATAACCGTGGGGATCTCCTTGAGGGCGAGGAGAAGAATGTCGTTGAAGACCTCGGGACTGTTGATAGCATATCGCTGCTGAGTCTCCCCATCATCATCCTCGTTCAAGTGCGCAGCGCATCGGAAAGCCAGAACAACCTGTCGGGCTGCCCGTAGAGAGTTCTTCTCGGCCATGGCCTTCCTCCACGAAGCGACAAGCTCACGGGTCAACTCGTTCCCTTGCGCGACGGCCTCGGCCTTGGCCTCCTTCTCCTTCTTCCGCTTCTTCTTGGGCTGCTCCTCTTCTTGTTCTGACTCGTCGTCGCCACTGAGCGCATCCACCTCTGCGAGGTCGGCGTTGTCGTCAAAGTCGAGGGCCTCGGGGTCGTTCTCCTTGAGAAACTTGTAGAATTCGGGATCATTCTCGGCGAGCTTCTCCATGGTCTCCTTGCTCATGCCAACATCGTCCTCGGCGTCGTCGCCGTCATTGTCGTCGCTGTCGGCCGCGATGGGCTGCGCGCCAATTGAGTCGTCAGAGTCGCTGGCATCGTTATCCTCGGCGGCGGCACCGTTCCTCTTTCGCTTTCCAAGCTTGCCGGCCTTCTTATCCTTGCTGTCGATGATATCGTCGAAACCGCCCGAGAAGAACTCATCGACACTCATATCGTTGACCTTCTTGCCCTTGGCACTGGGCTTCTTGACCTCTCCGTCTTGTCCATCCTTGGAGCCCTTGAGAAACTCTGCATCTTTTGACTTTCTAGCCTTCTTCTTATCCTGCATCTGATAGCGTTGCTTGATTTTGGCGCCTGCTTTCCGCTTGTCGAGAACACCTGTGAGATGTCTCTTCTCAAACTTTTTGGTCGCCTTGAGGTTCTTCTTGCCTGGCGCCATCTTGAAAATCTGCGAAGCGCCTCGGCTGGTGAAGAATTCAAGTTTGGGGATTGGGTGGTTTTTGTTTGTAGATTTTAGATGGGTCTTGTAGAGGCTCTCGCAACCAGACCAAAAACCAAAAATTTTGCTGCACACTTATCGATAAGAGATAGTCGACATAAACGACAGGCGGTGTGGGGGTTCTGCCGCTCACCTACGTAACATGTAGGCATCCCACCTGGAGCTCTCTCGTATTGCGCCGTGAGATACTATTTCATTGTAGGCATTGATCAAGCTAATGCCTCTTTCACAATGATTCCAAGACAAGGCTATGCGCCAACTCCTCATAGCTATGTACCCAATACAAGTCTTTCAGCAAGCATAAACCTCGACGAGGTATACTTCACCTTACATTCCGTTGTGTATAACCGTCACTAACCGCCAAGTGTAGGAGGTCAAGCTCACCAACACCCGTGCCGAGCGCGACCTCCAAGAATCCCTCGCCGAACTCTTCAGCATCATCATAACACTTGATGAACTCGAAAAGGCCTTTTTGAAAGATGCTGTCCCTGAAGCAGAGTATACCGAGATATGCGAGCGATCGCTGAGGCAGTATAAGGCGCTGCTTGCTGATGAGACGATTGCGAGGGAGTTTGGAGATCTTGAAGATTTCAAGGCCAAGTGGGATGTATGGCGCTCTAAAACATCCCAACAGCACCTATAAACCCATGACTGACAATCGTATAGCTCGAAGCTCCTCGCGCAACCGAGCGCATTCGTGTAGGAATGCCCTCAACGACCATCGATCGAGCCCCCTCGGCACAAACTCCCGCCCCCACCGCAGCCAACAACACAAGCGGCGTTCTCATTCTCGAAGCCACCCAAGAATTCATCACCTTTCTCGATGCCGTTAAGCTCGGTCTCCTTTCCAAGGATCAACTACACCCCCTTCTTTCCGACGTTATCCAATCGGTGAACCGTGTCACAGACAAAGACTTTGAGAACCGGGGCAAGATCGTGCAGTGGCTTATCACCCTTAACCAGATGAGAGCGACGGATGAGTTGAGTGAGAGCCAGGCGCGCGAGCTGGAGCTGGATATTCAGCAGGCGTATCAGGGATTCCGAAGGACGTTGACATGATAAGCTGTGACATGATGATTTTGTATATATTCTTGTTTTGAGCGAAGATGCCTGCGCCAATGCCTGCGCCAATGCCTGTCCGCATGGTTATTAGAAGTGGTGTGCTTTCTCTATATACCCACAGCGATCATCTTTCATGATCCATGGTCCATTATACCAGGAACGTCCAGAAGCTGGGATAGACGAACTCCGACTCGAAAATCCTTCTGACCTGTTCTAGCACGAACCTCTCGACTTTGCCCACGTTCTTCAAGCTCTGCTTTCCGCCAACCCGTTCTCCAATTTCGCTCTCCACGCGAATTTCTTGTAGAAGTCCTCCAAATCGTGGTTTGTGATGGTCATTATTGGCATCTGCTGTAGAGGTGCTCGAGCCCCCTTCTTCTTTAGTATCGTCGGGACCGACAGCTGCGAGCGCATCATCTGGGCCGAGGAAGCAAAAATGTACTCGCTTGCGAATATGCGCCAATACTCCCACGCCATCAAATGTCAAGCCTGTAATGTTGAGTTTTAGAGGTATACCCACAAAACTTGGCATGGGATAGTCGAGCAAGATCTCCGCAGTGAGGTTCAAGCGTATATCGCCGTTGTAGCGTATCCTAAAGACGGCTTGCACGTCCTCAACACGAGGTTCTCTTGGCCGCCGTCCTGCCTCTTCTTCTTCTTCTCCCTCCTCTTCATCGTCGTCTACAATCGCCGAGCCGCCAAGATGTGTATCCCTCGTTGGCGGTCGCGACGCCTCCACTGACGTAGGCGCCAGCGTAGAAACGCTTCCTTTCTCACGCAGGCTCTGCAGCGGGTCAAGGCTGGACTTGAAGTTATCAACAGAAGTCAGGCTGCTCTGTGATGGGTTCCGTGTGTGACTTGGGGCTCCCCATTCGCGTGCTGGTGTTCCCGGTACGCTCATCCAGTTAGTATGATGCGCACTCGCAACAGCGGCCAAAGGTGTATGTGTTCCTGTTCCAAGATGACTCTGGAAATAACCTAATCCTGATCCCCCTAGAATTCCTGGCGTTGAAGTTCCTAGGAACGGACTTCCTAGATCATGACCCATCATCTCATTCCTCAATACCTCGCTCCTCAATCCACCACCTCTCCTCGTTGAACCTCCCCACGGTGTAGGTCCAGGCCTCATCCTTGTTGGCTCTGGGGGCGGAGGAGGTGATGGCTCTTCTTCGCTATCCTCTTCATCATCGTCCAAATCCTCCTCGTAGAAATCAGGTAGAGGATCTGTAATGTCCTTGAGCTCAAGCTGTGGAGGGATGGTCCCAAAGTCGAAACCGTGGACGTTTACTGAGCGAATGAATTTTGGTAACGGAACTGTCTGGAATTTCTCGTGGACGAATTCCCGTATGCGCTCAGCGAGGGCGTCGCCATCGGGGCCGCTAGTGAGCGTCTCCCAATTCAGGTCAATCGACATGATCTTATGTCTCAGTTGTTGTTGATGTCAAAATTGAGTGCACTTTGGAATAGGATGTGGATGAGATGACGGCGGATGGAGCTGAGCTCCTAGGGCCTGATATGACAGGTCTCAGTGGCTTACAGGTGCTACCTATCGGCCTGAAATGACGCCCTGAACCTACCTACACTGTGGGGGCCTAAGCCGACATTAAGGTACCACTCGAGCTGTCGACTAAGGTAGACAGTCCATCACGATACAGCCATTCAACTCAGCATTTCTCAAGGGGCATACAACAGTAGCCATACTCTATTGATTTATGCATGTCTTGTATCCACATCATGCAAAGCCTCCTGGGTTGTAAGCAAGACCATCCTTTCCCTGTCCCCTTGAATGAATGCTCTGGTAAATGATCCCAATAACGATGCTGACGCTTGCTTGCTTGTACATATAACAAAAATACACTTCTTTTACGTTTATACCGGCCGTTGCGAAACATGCGTCTTTTTCTTCGTTATCTCATTCGCATCACACATAACAAACAACTCATACGCTCAGCGGAGCAACTCGGGCTCTTCGAACCTAGCGCGCCCATAGTAATGCGGATACTGAGGGTTGTTGAATAGATGCCAGCAGTTGGGCGCTTGCAAGATGTACCTGATCGCAAGTTAGTATACGAATACCTATCTCAGTCCCGTCTTGTACATACCTGGCCATTGCCTCTCGGAAACGGGACTTGTATTCCTTGGGACTGGTCACGGTAGGTCGATTGCGGCCACCACCTGCGAATCCACGGTCCTTGATCCAACTCTCGAGCTTCTTGTCCCAAGTGTAGGTCCGGATACAATCAATGATACCAACCACGAGTTCCTTGCGAGCTTCGTCGACGGCAATCATGAGTGAATAGTCCATCACATTCTGTCTTGCCAAGAACAACGTATCGTTCCAGACCGAAGCGCGTAAGAGCTTCTTGGAATGCTCTCGTGCAAAGAGGGGTGACTCGTAAATGTACTCAACCATATTTTCGTCAAGGAGAACCTCATTTTGCTCTCCTGTCGACTGGATCTTACGGTTTCGCATGGAACCTTTGAGGTCAAAAATTCTTGTTGCTGACCGGTCGTAGAAGAGGTTCTCAGTAATAAGGAGATCCAACTTGATGTCAGTTCCTGTTGCAGGGTTCTTGATGAACACCTGGAAGAAGCCTAGCATCTTTGCGATGACAGACGGGAGATCATGAAACAGTGCCTCAGCCATGATGTTGAAGTATCCAGGCGCAAATCGCAGGAAGGCCGAAGTCTCGATAGGGGAGAGTGACTGGGGATTGTTAGTCAATCTTGACTCGAAGCGAGAATCTACACAAACTTACCTTGAGAACGAGGCGATCATCCAGCGTCTTCAAGAAAACGGACTTAGTCTTGCCTCCCTTCGAATCCCACTTCAGGCATCGTGAAAGAGACTCGACAATACGTTCTGCAACACCACACTTTCTCCTGAGTGCATCAAATTGCTCTGCATAGAAGATCTTGCAGGTCATGGTAGCAGAGCCTTCTCGGAATTGGTACTTAAGATGGGTCCCTGTGACGCGAAGAAGACTCTTTTCCATGTCCGTTTCCGACACCATCCAGTCGGTACCATCTGAAGGCAGTGACTTGGGCTCGGCATATCCGCCACCCTCCACTTCGCGCTGCATAACCTCCTGTGCTTCTCGTCGAATGTTTGCCAGCTTGCCCTTGTAATCGTCGCTGTTGAGAGCGAGTGCAATGACTGAGCTTGGCTCATCCTCTCGCACGATGATGTCTGAATCAACAAAGATATGGTCGCTGGGATTGACCGGATATTCGAGTTGGTGCCAGCCGCTTGCGCCTCGTTCAGCCCAGAAGTTGGTGAGATACTTCATCAAGCTTGTCTTTTGATGCTTGGGCAATTCCAGTGGAATGTCGCTTGCATCAACGGAATCAGCAATCTCTTTGATGTCGTGCAAGTACTCATCTGGTACCGAGTGTTCGAGATCAGTGGTGCGTTCTTCGTCATCTGAGAACGTCTGACTGGTATTTGCAATGGTGTGGTCGTCATTCTCTTCCTTTTCTTCCTTCTCCGTTATTTCTTCTCCTTCTCCGTGGTCTGTCTTGTCTCCGCGCAGTTGACATGGCTCTTCACCCCCAATTTGTTGGCTTGGGTTCCCGTGCTGTTGTTCCTCTATACTCGCGGGTGGCTCAGCTGGAGTCAATGGCTCAGTAACTGACTCTGGCTTATGATGCGAATCCGACCTTCGTGAAGCAATGCTGCCGGCACGTTTGCTGGCTTCGCGTTCAGCAATACTCTCCGATGGGGGGCTTGGTTCGTCAAAGGCGTCGTTCACATCATCGTATACCTCAACAATTGCCTTTGTGGTTGTTCTCGGAAGCATGGCTCGAGGTTGGCGCATGCTCGCAGCACGCTTCTTGCGGTCTCGGATACGCTCTTTCTCAAATTCTCGACTGAGCTGCTCAAAGTGTCTCGCCAGTGTTGAAACCTTGGACTCTCTCTTCTTATGCACGAATCGCGGAATTCCTGAAGCGGTCGCTTTTCCTCTATCCTTCAGATTTCTCAACCCCAGGCGATCTGAGAGCTTCTTATCCACTCTGATCGACCCCTCGGTTGTTGACTCGGACCCCGTGCTGTCAGGAGGATTCGTCTTAGTTTCTTTAATTCCAAGACCCTTGCCAATTCCTGACTGAGTCCTAGAAAGTGTACGAACGGGGTGGGAGGTTGCTCTAACCATGGGAGGCGAGACCGCTTGCCCAGACTTACGAGAGGATCCGCGCTCGTTTGTGGGAGTTGGGATTGCAGATGGACCTGCTTGATAGCCCTGTTCTCGCCTCACCTGGTCAATTTTATCTGATAGTGTTGGAGCGGGCGAAGGGAGCGCTTCAAGAGGAGACGGCAGTGGCTCGGTGGGCTCGGTGGGCTCGGTAGACTCATCACCAGGCTCAGCGAGCTCAGTTGGCTCATTTGCTTCAGTGGTCTTAGTAGGTTCAAGGGGGACCAAGTCAAAAGCCCCGCCCGATGCCTTTGGTGTTTGTTCGGGATCGGCAATGGGGGTCTCTTGATCGTCTTGATCATGGGCTTCTTGAGCTTCTGGTGCCTCGTCGCCTTGGGAAAGCTCAGTCGGAGGATGAGTTGGTGTTGAGGGCGTGCGCGCTAGATCTAATGGTTCGACCCTTTCAATGGCCCCTTCTGCAGGGATCTCAACTTTACCATCTTCATCGGGAACGTCCTTATCATCGACAGGCTTTGATGAAGCGACACTAGCCTCCATACTGGTGTTGTCGGTGTAGTCCGTTGGTTGGGTGCTCTTCCCTTCTTCCTCCGTGAAAGTTTGAGACGGCCGCTCTTCGCTATCAACCGTTGAAGGCGTGCCTTCGTTAGAAACTAGCGACTCCTTTGACTCATTGTCTGTAAACATCTTCTTCAACTGCATGATGGTTAACTGGCGCATATCCTTGTCGCTGAGGAAATCAGCTTCAAATTTCGTAAACGCCTGATCCCATTCCCCGGCTTTCTCGAGCATCTCTCGGACGATACTGTTAAAAGGAACCACTTCGTAGTACTTGGAGTTGACGTA